GAGCAATTTGTTTTAACTCCATTAATTCAAAGGACCTTTGCCATTCAAATATCATACTTTTAGTCTATAATTTAAGTTTTACAATTCAGATTAGTGTAAATATCGAAAGAAATATGACTTGTCTATTAATATTATTATAAATATATCATCGTACTGGAGTATAGGGCTGGAACGGAGCCGGATATCCGGACTTTTCAAAGTATCCGGATCCGGCTCAAGATTTGACGGATAATCAATTTTATTATCTGAATCCGGATCCGAAAACTCCAGATATCCGGAGACCGAATATCTGGTTTGAACCGAAGATTTACGGATATCCGACCGGATATCCGGTTTCGTTGATTTAAAAAACAACTTCAATTTTTAAAATTATAATGAGATAACATATATAATTAAAATGTATCATTATAGCAAAAATTACAAATACCAAAAATTTAAAAACATTCAAGTAGCATTCAAATAACAAAAAGTTTAAAAATTTACATAGCAAAAAAGAAAATAGTAATAGAGAAGTTAATTTATCTTCATATCCTTGTGTTATCTATTTTCATGGTCTTCTCTCACAATCTGAAATAGAAAATTATCATGCAATATAAATTTCAATCATGTGTAAAAGAGTTAAACCAAAAATAATTTTCAAACATAATTAAAACAAAAAATTAAATGCATATCCAAAGATTTCAAAATTTTCAAAATCTTAATAAACGGATAACGGATAACGGATATCCGAGTTTAAAATTTTCTATTATCCGGATCCGTATCCGAAATAACCGAATACTTAATTTCACTATCCGGATCCGGATCCGAACTACACGAATATCTGGTTTGTACGGATCGGATAGGATCGGATACCGGATCGAATAGCGGATACCGGATAATAATTCCAGCCCTAGAGTATATAATATTGTATATTTAGCTAAAATGTAAAAAAAAAAACAAATATAATTTTTTTTTGAAAAAATAATAATCTAAACTCATTTATGTAACTGAGGAGTTGCACCGGTAATTATTGTACAGTGATCCTTTTAACATTGGAGGATGGAAAAACAGATTGAATGGAATTTTTGGCATGCAATTGACTTGGGTTCCAAAAATGCTTGACAGCAAGTAGGACCTAGTTTTCAAACTGTCCAGTAAATATAGATAAAAAAAATATGTGCTATGCATCCAAAAATCAGTATGGATTAATTCATTGATCTCATGGATATTTAGACATTGAAATGAAGAAAAAAACCAAATCAGTACTAACCAAAATTTTCTCATTGTAAACAAAGCGAGTCAGACCAAAAAGGCAAAAAAAAAAAAAACGTTTACTCTACTATTCAGAGTAGCAAAACGACATAAGAACATTTCCAATGGTAAGAATCCATAAAAAAATTTTATTAATATTTTAATAATAAATTTGATTATTTAAAAGAGAAGAAAAAATTGAGAAAAATAGTTGAGAGAAAGAAAAAGAGAGATGGTCCAAAATAATTTTGAGAAGAAACCAATGATTAAGCGATAGCTATTCTTAAGAACCCCATTAAGAACTAGATCTAAAAATGCTTAGTTAAATATCAGTTCTTATTTAAATAGGGTTTTTTTATTTACATTTGTAACCCAATAATACCAAAGAATCTCAGTTAGAACTCGTATTGACGTGCTCTAAAGCCACTCGAACTCAACTACTCAAGACATAAAGCTTAGAGAAATACCAAACCTAGAAGATTACTTGTATTTTTTCATATCGTAAATGTTTTCCTTGGACAACACTCATCACTTGTCGTCGACGTTGAGCAGTTCCCAAAAATGTAAATTTCACTTATCTCTGAAATATATGGACATTAGAAAAACCATTTCAAGATAGATATAAGGGAGAAGATAAACGCTGGCGAGACACTTTGAAAAAGTTTTGGTATTCATCAATTTGGTTCAAAGGGGCAACTCCAAAACAAGGCATAGACGTCACTTTCGAGATCTAAGAGCATGATCAACGGCGTTTTTAGTGTGGTCTCTAAAATTTTTTAATGATTAAAGTAAATCAAAACTGATTAATAAAGCTAAAGACGTCTCTAATTTAGGCGACACAAGAAACGTCTTTAAATGGCACGTGGCGGTGTTTTATTGGATAAAAATTTGTGGAGAATGAAATTTTTTTTCTTTCTTCCTTCATTTCTCTATTTTCTCATTCTTTCTCCTTCTTCGTTTTCTCCGTACGCGAGGATTCTTTCTTCGTTCTCTGCATCTCGACGACACCGTGGGCTTCGCCGATTGATCCCGACCGAGGCGGTGATGGAAGCGCCGGAGTTTAGAGTATGGATGGGATTCGTCTTCTCAATCGCTGGAGGTAAGCGATTCATCTTCTCAATCTATTTTGATGCTGTTTCTTCTCAATCATTGATCGATGCATGATCTAGGGTTACTGATCAATGCATGATTTTGGGTTTAGATTTTTGTTTGCATCATGAAATTTCGATTCTGTTTTGGTTGAAAAATTGCTTCAGAATCGATCCGATTTGGTCCTTGTCCTGATCGGTTTTACTTGTTTAAACTATGCTATTGCGTTCCTTGGAGAGTAGGTTTGATGTTGATTAACTATGTTTTTGCTTGATGTTTCTTAGTCAAATTTGAAGGTTTAATGCGTGTGCTTTATACTGATAGTGCGTGTGCTTACATAGATTGTTGGTGTATTTCTTTGATCTTTTTAATAATGGATGGCTGTGGAGTTAGTTTTGAGTAGTTTTTAATATGAGGTAGCTGAGAGTTAAGTGTTTGTATTGAAGTTGGTTTGGTTCTATATTTAATGGTAATCTTTTTTTTCCCTTGCACGAGGAGAGAATATTGGGGAATAAAATCAAGAGGAGAGAAGAAGGACAGCGGTTTAAAGGCATCATCAGCTTCTCACAAAAAGGTCAGCTTCATATTTCATTCCTCTCAGCTTTTAATAAATGAAAGTTAGGATTAGGTTATGGTAGTTTAGAGAGTTTATGGTTTAGTGTTTAAGGCGATGTAGATATATGTCAAGTCAGACTAGTTGTGGTGAATGCTTGTATTTGGTTTGGGTTGTGATGAATGCTTTGTCTTGAATGCAAGCGATGAATGGTTGCTTTTACTGTGTCTTTATTCTCTGCTCTTCCATGCTCTTTACTTCATTCTCCTCTTCTATTTAAACCTTGTTTAAAGAGAACACTTCCATCTTCTTTCACTTTTCTCGTACTTGTCTTTTTAAAAATACAAGTCTTCTCAATCTTCGATATCTTCTTCCATTCTTCTCCTCCTAAATGTCTTCTACATATCCCTTTAACCAACCCTCAAACTTTGTTGACCTCTTGCATAGCCAGCAAGAGACTGTGGAAACCTATCCCAATCCATTCCCATCACTAGAACTCCCTGCATTCAGCACCCAAACTTCCCCTGAAGATCAAGGAGCATTCGATGATGAGCCGACCAAGGAGCCTGCACATCGTCGAGAAAGAAGATCATGGAATCCTGCAGATGATACTCTGCTCATAAGCGCATGGTTAAATACAAGTAAAGACCCTGTTATAGGCAATGAACAGAATTTGGGTGCCTTTTGGGATCGCATAGCTACATACTATGCGGCTTCTCATACAAGTGGTGATGTTCGAGGGCCAGGTCAGTGTAAACAGCGCTGGCACAAGATCAATGATCTTGTCTGTAAATTCGTTGGAGCTTATGACGCAGCAACAAGGGCAAAAGGAAGCGGTCACAATGAGACTGACGTTCTTAAGCAGGCGCATGCTATATTCTATAATGACCATAACAAGAAATTTACCCTGGAGCATTGTTGGAAGGAGCTTAGGAATGATCAGAAGTGGTGCGAAACTTTGACCACTCAAACCGATGGACCCTGCAAACGGAGGAAAGCTGACAATGGTGGACCATCCGAAGTTGATGGAAACAAGGACGCCGAAGCTGATCAGGCTAACATCCGACCTCCTGGAGTGAAAGCCGCAAAAGCCAAAGGGAAGAAGGCATCAATGGTGGAGGGGAAGTCTTTGAACGAGTTTAGTTCCATGTGGGCTGTTAAAGAGAGGGATATGGTTCTGAAGAAGGAAATCACGGCAATGGGACTCCTGGACTCTATATTCGCAAAAAAAGAACCACTCACGGCGACTGAAGAAGCCTTGAAGCAAAAGCTCATAAATCAATTGTTGGGTAATTAGGTTGTTTGTGTTTTAAGTTTATGTTGTGTCTGTGTCAAGTTTAATGGATCGAGTTTTTTCAAACTCTTTAATGTTGTGTACTGCTTTGTAATGGTTTGTTGTTTAATGAAATATTATTCTCTTGACTTTGGAGCTTCAGATTTCACGGATTATTGGAAGAGACATAAAGACAACTGAATGGAATCGATATTCACGGGTTACTCAAAGGAGTGGAGTACAACAAGCCAGGCAAAACCGTAGGGACCCCTCTTTGAGTGGAAATCAAAGTAGTGGAGTACAAGAAGCAGTGTGTTTGTTTTTTTGTGTAGTTTGGGTCCATATGTATGACACCACATGTAGGGTAATTGATTCATTACCACAAAACTCATTCTCCTTTGTTGTATATATACGTAAACTTGGAAGTTTAGAAACTCATTCTCCATCTTTCTTCTCACTAGCTTTATTTCTTTGTGTGAATCCCATTTCTTTCACTAAATCAAGAGAAAAAAATCATTTCATCGATTTCACTCAAACCAAAGTCACCTGTTTCTTGTCATTCACTCAAACCAAAGTCACTCATTTCATCGATTCTCTTGTTATGGCTTCTTCTTCCCGCGATCTTTGGGATCGACAATTTGAGCAGCAATTTGATCAGTATTTCGATCAATATTTCGAGCAGTATTTCGAGCAAACATTTGAGAATCTTCTCAGTGATCAAGAAGCGGCTACCTCATCAAAGAAGAAACGAGCTGTTATAGAAAGACATCGAGAAGAAGGCCACATAAGATTATGGAATGATTATTTCAGCGAAAACGCAATCTACCCGATCACCTTTTCCGGCGACGTTTTAGAATGAACAAAGCATTGTTCTTGCGTATTGTTCATCGGCTCTCCAACGAAGTCCCTTTCTTTCAACAGAGGAGAGATGCTCGGGGTAGACTTGGTCTATCTGCACTTCAAAAATCTACAGCCGCAATTCGTCTCTTAGCTTATGGTACTGCGCTTGATTCCGTTGACGAGTACCTCCGTCTAGGAGCAACTACTGCTCGTTCATGTCTAGAAAATTTTGTGGAAGCAATTATAAATCTTTTTGGCGACGAGTACCTCAGAAGACCCACAGCAGAAGATCTTCAACGTCTACTTAATATTGGAGAGGAACGCGGTTTTCCCGGGATGATAGGAAGCATCGATTGTATGCATTGGGAGTGGAAGAATTGTCATACCGCTTGGAAAGGCCAGTATACACGTGGTTCTGGGAAACCCACAATAGTTTTATAAGCGGTTGCTTCATATGATCTCTGGATTTGGCATGCATTCTTTGGACCTCCAGGTACCCTCAACGATATAATGTTCTTGAACGTTCACCCGTTTTTGATGACATTATAAAAGGTCAAGCTCCGAAAGTGAATTTCTTTGTCAATGGAAGGGAGTATCATTTGGCATAGTATCTGACAGATGGTATATATCCAAAATGGGCAACTTTTGTCCAATCTATTCCACTACCACAAGGCGAAAAAGCACGCAAATTTGCTGAAGTTCAAGAATCTACCTGGAAAGATGTCGAACATGCTTTTGGAGTCTTGCAATCAAGATTTGCTATAGTAAAAAATCCTGCTTTGTTTTGGGATAAAGCAAAAATTGGAAAGATTATGAGAGCTTGTATCATCCTCCACAATATGATAGTCGAAGACGAACGAGACGGATACATGCATTCTAATGTTGAAGAATTCCAACAAGGAGAAGGAGGCGGAAGTTCTAGTGTGGATTACTCGTATTCCACAACTACGCCTACAAATATTCTAAATATGATGGACACCCGGAAAAAAGTTCGATCAAGAGATGTGCATCACCAATTAAAAAAAGATTTAGTTGAGCATATATGGCAAAAATTTGGCTAAGTTCAAAATAATATCCTAAAGTTTATGTATAATAATTTATGTTTTTTGCAATGTTATTGTATTAAATCTGCTTTTATAAGATATTAAATCCTTCTTTAAAATAAATTATTATTACAAGATTTTTTTTTTAGAAACCCGTCACAGGTCTCTCCATTGCATCCTTTAAATTTTCAGATTTCTAAATTAGATCTCTACTAATAAAATAATCTATTTTAATCATAAAAATAAGAATAAGAGACCTATGAAGGTCTCTCCATTAAACATGCTCTAATGATCCTTTGGATCCAATGAGGAAATCTCCCTTTTCTTAAAAATCTTTGTACCCTTGTTTTTTTATTCCTTTCTGGCAAGGCTTCAAAATATAGGTTAAGCTACTTTTGTAAAACCTGACATTCATTCCTTATTGATATTAAGGTTATGAATGGTAGCTTTGAAAAGACGTTTTTTTTATAAAAAAAAAAAAGACAAAACCGCTTTTCTGTCACCAATCAGAGTGATCTTCTCCACAATTTGTTTTTTTTTTTTTGAAAAAACAATCGTAGTTTTATCCGCTGGATTAAAGCAAAGACCGCTTTACCAAAAAGACACCGCCTTTATCCTGCGGTTTTTAGAAAAACGCAATGGATAATGCTGTTTTTTTATTTTTTTTAATATTTAATTATAAAATTTTTCTATAAATAGCATGCAACATTGCATACAAAGTACATACAAGAAAATATAAAAGAAAAAAAAAAGCTGAAAGAAGAATAAAAAAAAAAGTTTTTTCACTTTTTTGCTTTCAACAGCTTTCTATAAGGTAAGTTTTATATACAATTTAAAATTATATTTTTGTACTAATCGTAGATATGTTATAATAAAACTAAAGTAATATTATTTTCTATTATTGCATGACATCATTTAACTAATTGAATCTTTAACTAATTGAATCTTTAACTAATTGAATCATATTTACATTAATAATTAAATTAAATTTTGTTCTAAAATTGATTAGATTGTAATATAAAATCTCTCCTAGTTTAAATTAAAAATAAAATAATATAAATTATGATATAAATATTAAAATTAGAATAAGTCTTATTTATGTTAAATTAGTCATTTATATTTAAATAAGTGTATTTTTAATAAAATTCAGAATGATGTAATTTTCAAAATATAAATCATTTTGTCAATTTTTTTTCAAATTTTCTCTATTTTCAAGATCAATATTTTTTTAAAATATGTATTTTTTGATGTTAATTAGTGATGGCATTATAAATTAATATTGATATATAAGTATAAAAATAATATTTAATATAAAAACTTAAATACATATGAGAAAAAATTACTAAATAAATTGATATATACCTTGAAATCAATTTTATTTTATAAAATATTAAAAACGAAAATTGAGTAAGAATTCAAAAATCTACATCAAATTTTATTTTCCTAAATCACCACCTAAATCCAAATAATAAAATTAGCATATACTTTGGGGTTTATGGAAGTTTCCTACAAGTTTAAGAAAGTAATAAATGATTTAGTTGTGCAGAATTTAATGTGAGAAAATAAAAATAAAAAGTAATTTAGCTGTGAATAATTTTATGTTTTTTATATTAGGAATTATTGTATTTCTTATTACTTCTATAATTTAATTGAATTTTCTATGTTTGAATGAGTTATAGTTATAAACAAAAATTTTAAAAGATTGAAAAACAGGGACGTGAGTAACCAAAAGGTGACTGGGGGCAAAAAATAAAATTAGAGTGGGGGCACTGATTAGAAACTGAAGTAATTAAGGAATGATTTAATAAATTGATAGGGAGCACTTGCCCCCTCCTTGATACAAGTAGCTCCGCTTCTAGTTATATACAATGGTCGTTAGTAAAAAAAATTGAATTAAGTATAAACATTATTATTAAAATAAGAAAAATAATTATTTAGAAATAAATAATATTAGTTTTTAAAACCATTAAAACTAATGTTTAAATTTTATTAATTGTAGATATGTCGGGTAATCGGCGGCGCAACACGAATTCTTCCAGACAAATAGGATCAACTCGTCTAGTTGAAATTTCAACTCCCTCCACAGAAACGACTGTTAGGGTAAATAATATATTTTTTATTTATTTATGTATTAATTATATATACTATCATAAGTAACACGTAATTTACAAAAAAATTGTAGAACAAAGACAAATACAAATGGTCGTATATACAAGAAAAAACACTAATTCAATTATTCGACGAAGCAATTGCTATGGATAATTATACTCTCAAGAATCCTTCGGCTGCTGGTAGAGAGTATATGGTTCAAAAGTTTAATCGAGCGTTCAACTTGAATATAACTTATGCATTTTTCAAAAACAAACTTGATGAATTCAAAAAAAGATACAAGAGATGGAAGGCTCTTATGAATTATACTGGTATCTCGGTAGATCCTGAGACATCCCTGATATATGCATCTGAAGAATGGTGGAAGGAACGTGAATTCGTAAGTACATTTAATCATTATAATAATGAAAATATATATTCAATATATGGAAACAAGAAATTTATAATTTCAAATTTGTAGGGCTGCAAATTAACAAAAAGCTTTAACCGACAGCCGCCAGAGTTTTGGGATGTGATGGTAAAATGTATTATATTATATGATGTTCACTCACAATCTCAACATTCTTCATGACAAAGAAGAGAAGAACTGATCAACGAAGATGCACTCGATGAAGAAGGCTCTGATGACTCAGACACCGACAACGGTGATATGCAACAAACACAAGTTCCTGAGACACAAGAGGATGAAAAAGTCTATCGTGTAACCATTGACGATGATACACGCCATTCGAATGAATATAGAAGTGAACTAGTTCAAAATATTTCTCGTAGAGGCCAACGAGGGAGGGTCAACTCGCGGTCTAGCGTTAGACAAGGGATTAGTTCACAAAGATTAGGTGGAAGCTCACGGATTTCTGTTTCGAGTGGTTCACGAGGAGGTCGTAGAAGACAATCATTCGAGACAACCATACAAGACACCATTGCTGGATATACAGAGTTTTAACGACAAAGTTTACAACAACTTCGTCCAGGTGCTTTTGACCAAGCTGACTACGATGAATGGAAAAAGGCAGAAGCCATATTCTTTGCGCTTAAAATTCCGAAGGGCACTAAATTTTACTGGACATGCCTTAATACATTGAAGGAGCTTGTATTTTGGCGTAAGTATTTCATTGATATAGCGGAAGGCATAGATGAGGATAAGCTACAGCTGCTAGAAGCTATGACTGGTGTTTCACGGAACAACCAAGATGTGCCAAAACAGTTAGATTCCGGCCAATCATTTGGAAGTCCAAATTCAGGAGGGTTATCATCTGGTAGTCCATCTTCCGGAGGGCAAAATTCAGGAGGATTATGGCCCTCTAACTTTCAAAATTGGGGTACACCACCGAATGCTCAACAATAGGGTTCTCCTCAACCTCGTCCACAATTGGACACACCACCAAATGCACAACAATGGGGCACACCACCAAATGCACAACAATGGGGCACACCACCTAATGCGCAACAATGGGGTACACCCCCAAATGTTCAACAATGGGGGATTCCACCAAACTTTCAACCTTGGGTTTCACCATCGAACTTTCACGCAAGAGGTGAGACACAAAACTTTCAACAAGGCGGCTCATCGGGAATGACTCCAGCCAATGTTCAATATGGATTTTCTGTTGGAGGTCAAGTAGGAAGTACGGGAAATAACGAACAACAAACTTCAGGAGCTTCACCAAACGCTCAACCAACAACATCATGCAGTTTTGATTTCACAAATTATTTTGATACTAGACATCAAATACCTAGACCAGGAGGTATATTTAATATATGGGGTAACACGCAAGGAAATAACACAAATGTAAACGAAGATCGTCAAAGTTTTTCATAATATAATGATTAGCCTGTAACAATTGTGTTTCAAGTTTCTTGTTTATGTTATGTAATATTTAATATTTTTATTTTTATTTTAAATTTTTGTGTAATTGTTTAATATAAATTTATATTTTCTAATGATATTTTTTTATTTCGTGTTTAAAATTTCAGGCTTTTCGTTTATGTCAGTTACAATCACAAGGCATGCACAACCTAAGTTACGAAGAAAGAATTGAATTGTGGAATTTGGAAAATGAACAATTTATGGAGTTAATAATTCAGCCAAGTTTAAATTACTATCATCGCTATTTTGAAAGAGCACCAGACCTAACAAACAGAGGTTTGGGATGGACAAATATTTGGCCTCGGCTACAACAAGATGCTAGGGCTTGTTTACAGTTACTACGAATATCAATGCCATGTTTTATATTGTTATGTGATACTTTACAAACAAATTACGGGCTTCAACCAACATTAAATATGAGCATTGAAGAAAGTGTGGCTATATTTTTACGGATATGTGGGCACAATGAAGTTCAGAGAGATGTTGGTTTGAGATTTGTCCAAAATCAAGAAACCGTGCAGAGAAAATTCATTGAAGTTCTTAGGGCTACTGAATTACTGGCATGTGATTATATTAGAACTCCAACAAGAGAAGACCTAGACAGAGTTCCTGAAAGACTTATACAAGATCGAAGATATTGGCCATATTTCAGTGGATTTGTTGGAGCTATGGATGGGACTCATGTATGCGTAAACATGAAACAAGAATTACAAGGAATGTATTGGGATCGACATAATAATCCATCCTTAAACATCATGGCAATTTGTGATTTGAATATGTTATTCACATATATTTGGAATTGAGTACCAGGTTCATGCCATGATACAACCGTTTTGACAATGGCACAACAAAGTGACTCTGAGTTCCCTTTGCCGCCACCAGAGAAGTATTATCTCGTTGATTCTAGTTATCCAAACAAACAAGGATTTTTGGCACCCTATAGATCATCACGAAACAGAGTTGTGAGATATCATATGGCTCAGTTCAATTTTGGTCCTGCTCCTAGGAATAAACAAGAACTCTTCAATCGAAATCATGCGTCTATGCGTTCTGTTATCGAGAGAACTTTTGGATGTTGGAAGAAAAAATGGAGAATTGTTAAGGAATTTCCAAGATATAGTGTTAAAATCCAAAAGAAAGTAATAATGGCTACAATGAGATTAAATAATTTTATCAAAATTTCAGATTTCGCAGATCCAGATTTTGCAAGTGCAATGACAGAGACGGAAAGAAATAATATAGATTCTGATTATGATTTCGATGACATTGAAGGAGCAGAGGCAACTGATGGGCATTATATGGACCAAATAAGAGATAGAATTGTAGATATGTTGTGGAATCAGAATATTTGATGATTGTTTTTTTTTCTACTTTTATTTTTGTCGATGAATGTTTTTATTGTATTGTACTTTTTTTATTATGAATTATGGTTTTATCTCGTTTAGCACTATTTGTATCGTCAAAACTAAATTTTTACTTTAAATAAAAATATGAATATTTTAAGTTTATAAATGTATGAAATTGTTTTTTATTAACCAAAATTAATAATTTAATTTTAATTATATTAATTATTATATATTTTTATAATATATTTATCTATAATTTGTAATCCGTACCGCTTTAGTCTTATTCACCATTCAAACAATTTTTTGTGGACCGCAAGCTGTTTTTTCACCAATCAAACATTATTGTGTACCGCTAATTATATAAAAACTGCATTTGTCCCGCAAATGTATTTTCCCGCACGTACCGCAGTTGAACTGTACCACACTCTAAAACCGCTTTTTCCGCACAACAAAAAACGCTGTCACCATTCGGAGCTTAATTTACTGAGTATTTGGCGCACAAAAAAAAGGCAAGACATCGTCTTATAGACCCTATAGATTTTTGGGAGAATTGCTTTTATAATGCATTCAAATCCTATTTGTCCTCTTAATATTTTCTAAAAAAAAATTATCCCCTTAATATTTAAATTAATATTAACTCTATTTTACCCTCTGATTTTATATTTATTAATTTTTATTAAACGTTATTACATTAGAATATATTAATATTAACCAAACAAAATAATAATTAGAAAACAATTTCTACCAAAAAAAATGGAAAACTATCCTCTTTCCCGACTAAACACTCGTCGCAGATTAAAGTAACTGGGACACCTAACCAAATCAAAATAGCTCGAGGACTTCTTCATGCCTTTATCCTCATAGGTGAATCAGTATCACTGGTTAAAAGAGTCGGCCTACGCTGCAACCAGATGTTTTCAAGAGATTTCATGTAGTCCTTGTTTCATTCATTCATTCTTTTTTTTTTTACTGGTTCAGATCGTTTTGACTCTTTATGTCCTTAATGAACCAGTTTGATTGATTCAGATTTTTATTGTCTTCTCTAATTTTCCCCTCTTCTTTTTTATTTATTTTTTAATATATCGCAGAACACATGGAGTTGAAATTGATGGAATGAAAATTTCATTGCTCAAAAAGACAGTTTTTATAGCAACAACAACGTTTTTCTAGACTCAATTAATTCAATGCGTTTATTGCTTTTAGATTGCTGTTACTAGACCATTTCGGCTAACTGGTGTAGAGTTGCAGAAAGAAGAAGAATTAAACGATGACAGCAAAAACAAAACAAAAAATGTTCAAAAAAAGATAATAAACATGGAAAAAAAGTTTAAAAGATTTTCAAAAATATTCAGCTCTGGGTAATAACTAATTTTCTTAGATTTTTTCAGATTTTGGTAGAAGTTGTATTCTACGTTAATGTAGAATGAAGACCATATGTAGAAGAACTGTTCTGCAATAACGTAGAACCTGGTTTAATAAGTAGAACTAATATTCTACGAAAATGTAGAATCTTGTATTCTACCAATATGTAGAATATAGTTTATCCAGAAGAACTTGTAATCTACCATAATGTAGAATATAGGTAACATATAGAATAAGTTTTCCACCAACCGGTAGAATATATAAAGAACTATAGAAAACAAATTCTACAGATTGGTAGAATATATAAAGAACTATAGAAATCGGATTCAACATAGACGTAAAACGTAGAACACGCATTCTACCATACGTAGAACTAATTTAAAATTATTTTTTAATATTTTTTTCTTGATATGATATTTAAAAATATTCTTATTTTCTTTTTAGATATTTTCAAAAAAATTTAAAAATAGTTTTGAATTTAATTATTATTTACAACTGCCATAACTGATTTAAAAAGATAACTATGTCAAAAAATGACTAAAAAATAGTAAGTATTAGAAAAACAAATGTTAATTGAATTGGCATCATAAAAACAATTCTCCCTAGTTTTTCCTATCCAGAATTGATAAAAAAAAATAAGTTTTTATTATCTATAGCAATGATGCCACCAAATTGATCAACATGATCATTCAAAAACCCATTGGCTTTCTTGGCGAATCGGTGCTTCTTCCTCGGGTGTGAAATCGTTCTCGATGTTAAACATAGTGCGAATTTCTGTAAGAATTATTTGGGGTCACATGTATAATCAATGTGTTATGGTCATTATTTAAAGTAGTCAAAACTTATGTGGTCACTTTGGTATTAAAGAAAAGACTAATGGGGCATAAGTGTTATGAAAAATTAATGTGAAGATACATTCAGTAATTTCTAATTTGATGACGGGCCGGATTAGAAATTATACTCTATATAAATAGAGAGGTTATGGTCCCCGCAGCAACCCTAACGAGAAGTACAGAAAACTCTCTGCATCCCATCAACAGAGATCTACAGCCATTCAGGGTTTGTTGTGGAAGAACCATAGACAAATTCAGAGCATATATCATGGATCCAAAAGGTACGCTTCCGTTTCTGTTCTTATTAATCAGAGACTGACATGCTATGGTGCTTTATAAGGATTTAGAAACCTTTCAATTGTTATCAGAACCATCATGTTCAGTTTCTGTTTGATAATCAGGTTATTTTAAGAAATAAATTCGGATTTATTTTTGTGAAAAATTTTTAGATTGTTGAATCTGATTTTTCTCTAAAGTTTATGCCTAGATTAGAATTCTGAGATCTATGATTTATTTTTAAAAACAAAAGATCTAGATTATTGCTCATGTGGTTTTGTTTTTCTGAAAATTTTAATATATTTTTCGGAATTTTTGGGAGCAATTATCAGATTTAGTCTTTAAAAATTTTAAAGTTTCATGCTCATAAATTTTTTTTGAAACTCTGGAAATTTTTTCAAAAATTTCAGATCTGGTTTTAGCTTTGGCGGCTGTATTTTTAGGGTTTACTCTAAGGTTGAAGACAATGACATTTTCGTAATTCTTTGAAAGTTTATTAATGAAACTGTGCACTTCTTTTAGTTAAATCGGACTGGGCTTGAACCCAATTTTGATTTAAATTTCTTTTAGTTAAATCGGACTGGGCCTGAGCCCAATTTTGATTTAAGTTGCATTTAAGCCTAAGTTTCATTAAAACTCGAATTTGGTTATATTCAACTAAAGTCCAATTCGTTTTAATTAAAATGAAAACGCATCACTAGGGATTCGAACCCAAGTTGCGCTAATATGGGCGTCCACTTCCTGTTTGTCTTCAACCATTTTGCCACTGTAACATTATTGCATATAGAGTCCTAGACTTTATGTTATATGTCTGCGCAAGAATATAATTAAGTTTTTTTTTCATCAATAAATAATTTTGATTGTGCAAGTTTAATATTTGAAGTGGATTAATTGATGCAATATGTTGCCAAAGTAACCTCTATTGTGGATATTTTTTCATGGATAATATTAAATGTTATATGTGTATATATATTCATGCGAATATTAAATCGACCCAAAGGTAGGTTTTGTATTTGGCCGAATAACATACATACCTGTGATAATAAACACGTGATAATTATTAGGAATAAACATGTGAATGATAAATCGATCCAAAGATAGGTTTATTGTTTATCATGCATTATTGTCAGTGTTTGGTTGTTACAACAAGAGTATCACTAGCAGTTAATATTACTGTCCAAAGACTTGATATTAATGTTGCACTTGATATCTTGAGATGGGTTGTACAATTGTTTATTTTTATTTATTGATTTAATTCGGTTTAGTAGTAAATTACTAATAAAGATTGTTCAATTTTGCAGCGAATTTTACTATAGTATCTGCAAACTTAAGTTCAATTCCAACACTTACCGTTTCTAATTACAAGGAATGCAAAAGTAAAGTTAAGATTGTTCTACAGATACCAGCACTGCTGAGTATAAAGCGGTTCATGAGAAGTGGGAATGTTCTAATCGCATTGGTTTAATGATCATTTTGGACACCATTCCAGAAATTTTTAGAGGTAATGAGGAGATCTCTGATCTCAAACAGTTCCTTGCTGAGATGGACTTGCGTTTTGCGAGTAGCAATAAGGCAGAAACAAGTTCGCTACTGTATCGCTTTAGTACCATGAGGTATCACAGCAAAGGAAACATAAGGAAGTACATTTTGGAAATGTCCAACATTTTTTCAAAACTCAAGACTCTCAAGATTGAGCTTCCGGAAGAAGTGCTCATACATTTTGTCTTGAACTCCCTTCCTCCTCAATTCAATCAGTTTAAATCCAGTTACAACACACGTAAGGAGAAATGGGCTCTTAATGAGCTTATTTCATATTGTGTGAATGAGGAGGATAGGATGAAACAAGAAAGGTTTGAGAGTGCTCATATGGTTAACACCTCTAAGGATCAGGGCAAAAGAAGGAAAATTGAGGTTGTTAAGAATGATGTTGCTAAGGGTCCATCTCAAAAGAAGTAGACTAAGGATGAAGATACCTGCTTCTTTTGTAAGAAAACTGGACACATGAAGAAGGACTGCCAAAAGTATCATGCTTGGCGTGGTAAGAAAGGTATGTTCCTTGCTATGGTCTGTTCTGAAGTAAACTTAATTGAAGTACCCAGAAACACTTGGTGGTTAGACTCAGGTGCAACTACTAACATCAGTGTTTCACTATAGGGTTGTCTGAGCTACCGAAAACCAACTGAAGCTGAAAGACGCATTCATGTGGCTGATGGTTTTGCAGTGGATGTGGAGGCAATTGGGCATTTTAGATTTTTTTTCAGTACTGGTCAATTTTTGGATTTGAAAGACACTTTTGTTGTACCGTCTTTTAGACGGACTTTGGTTTCCGGTTCTTATTTAGACATATCTGGTTATTCTTGTCTAACTGAGCATGGAAAAGCTACTTTGTCTTTAAATTCAATTTTAATTGGAACTGGTACACTTATGAAAATCACGGTCTTTATATGCTTGACGCTTTAACTTCTCATGATGAAAGTTTAAGTGTTGAATCAAGGGGTAATAAACGAAAGTTTGAAAATGCAAGTTCAGGAACTCTGTGGCACAAACGCTTAGGTCACATTTCTAGAAATAGAATTGAGCGACTTGTGTCAGATGATATATTGAGTTTTATTGACTTCACAAATTGTGACGTCTGTGTGGATTGCATTAAAGGAAAACAGACTAAACAGAAGAAATTAGGTGCATTTAGAGCTACAGAAGTCCTTGAGTTGATACATACAGACATTTGTGGACCATTCCCTACGGCTTCTTGTAACGGTCAACAATACTTTATATCATTCATTGATGATTATTCTCGATATGCATACTTATTTCTTATTCATGAAAAGTCAGAGTCTATAGACGTGTTCAAGAAGTTTAAGGCTGAAGTTGAGAACCAACTTGAGTGAAGGATAAAGTCTGTCAGATCTGATCGTGGTGGTGAATATTACGGTCGGTATGACGGTTCAGGTGAACAACGTCCAGGACCATTTGCTAGATACCTAGAGGAGTGTGGAATTGTTCCTCAGTACACTATGCCTGGGTCTCCCAGTATGAATGGTGTATCTGAGAGACGCAATCGCACTCTTAAGTTCATGGTAAGGAGTATGATTTGTCATTTCACCTTGCCTGAATCACTCTGGGGAGAGGCACTAAAGACTGCAGCTTACATTCTTAATAGAGTACCAACTAAAGCAACTGAAAAGACACCTTATGAGCTTTGGACTGGTAGAAAACCTGGTCTGAAGCATTTGAACATTTGGGGATGTCCAGCTGAGGCAAGGCCTTACAGGCCATATGAAAAGAAATTGGACTCCAGAACTGTGAGCAGTTACTTTGTTGGTTATTCGGAGCGATCTAGGGGCTATAAGTTTTATGATCCCACACAGAAAATTATTTTTGAGATGGGAACAGCCACGTTCTTTGAGGATATTGATTTTGGGGGGAGAAATAAAGTTAAGGACATCATCTTTGAGGAAGAATCGGTTCCAGTTTCTAATCCGATTCATATAGTTGTTTTTGACAATGCAAATTTGGAACCTCAAGTTGATACAGAAGTACTTCCTCCAAATGAAGATGACGATGTTATCGAACATGAAGGTCAAATTCAAGATCCTCAAGAAGTGGTGCAACAAGAACAAGTGCCTTTGCGGCGATCCACTAGAGAAAGAAGAAGCGCTATTCCGGATGATTACATAATGTTTTTCATGGAACAAGAGGAAATTCAAACCCAGTTGGAAGATGATCCTATCAACTTCCGTGAGGCAATGGGTAGTTCCAAATCAGATAAGTGGGTTAAAGCTTCTGAAGAAGAGTATCCGTCAATGCTAGACAATAAAGTTTGGGACCTCGTCGAGTTACCAGAAGGAAAGAAACCAATTGGTTGCAAATGGATATTTAAAACCAAATTGGACTCAAGTGGTAATGTCGAGAGGTATAAGGCTCGTCTAGTGGCTAAAGGATATACTCAGAAAGAAGGGATTGACTACAAAGAAACTTTTTCTCCAGTTTCTTCAAAGGATTCTTTTAGGACAATCATGGCTCTTGTTGCACATTATGATTTAGAGCTTCATCAGATGGATGTCAAGACAGCGTTTCTCAATAGAAACATTGATGAGACGATTTATATGGAGCAACCAGAAAACTTTGTAATAGGTGATTCAAAGAAAATGGTCTGCAAACTAAAGAAATCCATCTATGGTCTAAAACAGGCTTCTCGTCAATGGTACCACAAATTTCATGAGGTAATCACCTCCTTTGGTTTTGAGGTGAATTTAGTTAAAGATTGTGTGTATCAGAAGTTCAGTGGGAGTAAGTGTATTTTCTTGGTATTGTATGTTGATGACATACTTCTGGCTACCAACGATATAGGCATGTTGCATGAGACCAAGAGATTTCTTAAGGAATATTTTGCGATGAAAGATCTTGGTGAAGCATCTTTTGTATTAGGTATCCAGATTCATCGAGATAGATCTCGAGGTATTCTTGGATTATCACAAAAGAGCTATATCGATAAAGTACTCAAGAGATTTGGCATGCATGATTGCAAACCAAGTGATACCCCAGTCGCTAAAGGAGATAAATTCTCTTTCAGTCAGTGCCCTAAAGGAAATTTGGAAATTCAGGAAATGCAAAAGATTCCTTATGCATCTGCTGTAGGAAGTCTGATGTATGCTCAAGTTTGTACGCGTCTGGATTTAGCGTACATTGTTGGAGTTTTGGGCAGATACTTAAGTAATCCAGGTTTGGACCATTGGAAAGCAGCCAAAAGGGTCATGAGGTACCTGCAAAGAACAAAGGACTTTATGCTCAAATATCAGAGATCAGATCATTTGGAGATCATTGGGTATTCTGATTCTGATTTTGCTGGATGTCAAGATAGTAAAAAGTCCACTTCGGGCTATGTGTTTCTGTTGGCTGGTGGAGCTATGGCATGGCGAAGTGCAAAACAATCACTTGTAGCTTCCTCCACAATGGCGGCAGAATTTGTAGCAGTTTTTGAGGCATCCAATCAGGGACTTTGGCTAAAGAATTTTGTCACAAGGCTGTGAATTCTTGAAGGAATTGAAAGACCACTAAAGATATATTGTGACAATAAATCAGCTGTTTTGTACTCCAACAAAAATAGGAGTGCGACAAAGTCCAAGTTTATTGAAATTAAGTTCCTGGTTGTTCAGGAGAGAGTACAAAGTGGAGAGATTTCCATAGAACACTTAGGGACAAACTCCATGATAGCTGATCCTCTTACAAAAGGTATTACACCGAAGGTCTTTCATGAGCATATTGCTCGAATGAGTGTTTCAGTGTTTGATGGTCATTTGGTTTAGTGGGAGTTTGTCATTTGTTTTTGGGTTCTATGTTTTGGTTGTGTTTCAGCACATTTTATTCTGATCAGAAATAAAGTTTTACAGTTTACACTTTATGCAATACAGTTAAAGGATCTCAATAGAGTAGGACCAGTTGAAAATCGACATGTATTGATCACTTTTCATGTGATTTTCATGCTTCACTTTTCATAATTGATCTGTCATTTGACTATATTGATTTCAGTGGCCATGAAAGGTTTAGTTATGATTGCTATAACGAAAGCCGTCATGATCCTATGTTGCTATAGTTAATGGACGTGATTGTTTATGCCCTGATGTATAATGACAATTTTGAGTTCATAAAGTCTATCACATTTTCAGATACACATGTGACCCAGTGGGAGATTGTAAGAATTATTTGGGGTCACACATGTATAATCAATGTGTTAGGGTCATTATTTAAAGTAGTCAAAACTTATGTGGTCACTTTGGTATTAAAGAAAAGACTAATGGGGCATAAGTGTTATGAAAAATTTACGTGAGGATACATTCAGTAATTTCTAATTTGATGACGGGCCGAATTAGAAATTATTCTCTATATAAATAGAGAGGTTATGGTCCCCGCATCAACCCTAACGAGAAATACAAAAAACTCTCTGCATCCCATCAACAGAGATCTACAACCATTCAGGGTTTATTGTGGAAGAACCATAGCCAAATTCAGAGCATAAATCATGGATCCAAAAGATACGCTTCCGCTTCTGTTCTTATTAATCAGAGACTGGCATGCTATGGTGCTTTATAAGGATTTAGAAACCTTTCAATTTCATCAAACACTTAAATTATCTTGGATCATATCAATCAGCAACTGTTTTTTTTATATATATATATAAAGGGTATTCAATTAAAATACAAACAAAACAATACAAGCTATGACAATTAAGTCATACAGTTTTAGAAGTAAAAACATAGTGAAGGAGATTTAAGCAAGAGCTTAATCTAGTTTTGGAAGTAGACCTAAGAGATAATGAAAGAGAAGTTCCATATAATGAAACTTTAGAGGTGAATCAGTGGATGAAATGAGGGTTAGTCCATGATTACAGACTCCTAACAAAGTGGACCACGGCCACCACGACCACCACGTCTTCTTTTACCTCGTCCATTTACCATGGTCCATTGCATCTCTTGGACATTTTGTGAAGGCTTTATTTGCCTTCCTCCTTTGGTTTTAAGAGATGAATCACCCATCTCAAAACCTGTATAAACTCCCGATTCTAGAGCAAAATGTTTACTTCCAATCAGCAACAGTTTGGCAAGTAAGATCAAGAAGGCTATTGATGTTTAGAAAATTAGCAGCCAAAACAAGATTAAAGAGCGTGAATTGATCCATATTTTTCATAAACTCAGTATCCCAATTCTTGAGCTCTTCTTCCGAAGACAAACCACCATATATATATATATATATATATATATATATATATATATATTTAACTAATTAGGATTTATATAATCTATGCTCATCTAGTTTATAGATGAAGAAAATCTATATGTGAAAATCTTAACTTTATAAAAATCAAACGCAGAAGAAAAATATCAATGAAGGATTGTTGATTAACCTTTGTAAATTCAATTAAATAAGGCGAACCACATCGTGAAATTAAAAAAAAAAACTAAAATTAGGTCAATATATAAGAAAGAAGCTAAGTTATCAAAGTGGTCTACGTTCTATCAGCCAAATGCCCATTGGTTTCCTTGGCGAACCTGTGCTTCTTCCTCGGGTGTGGAATCGTTGAGCATAGTGCGAGTTTCTTGTGGAGTTTTACCAGTGATCAAATCAGCAACTTCTTGGCAAGTGAGATCAAGAAGGCTTTTGATGTTTAGAAAATTAGCAGCCAACATAAGATTAAAGAGCGTGGGTTGATCTATACAATTCATAAACTCAGCATCCCCAACTCTTGAGCTCCTCAGAAGAGACACCGTCACCATCGACGACGACGTGTTTCTTGCAATACTCGATCACTTTGGTGAGGATATGGCTGGTGACGTTGGGAAGAGGGATTCCGTCACCGACACAGTCATCTTCAACCATGTGAGCTACGGTCTGCGACTGGAGAGCCACCGCTTCTTCAACCTCAAAGGTCTCGCCATCTGAGCTCTTCAACACAATCTTCTTTGAATTCGACATCGCTCCTTTGCTGGGAGATTGATGAAAAAAAAAAAAAGGTAAGCAATTAGGGTAATGAATTATACAAACTACAAAGTATGCTTTTAAAAAAAAAAAAACTACAAAGTATGCATCTCTATTTATAGGGTATGGTTTTGAGTCGGTGATTTTCTTCAAAGTCACCTCACATGATTAGGAAATATGAACATTTTTTTTTTTTTCTTAAGCAATAAAAAGGAGAGAGATTTATGATTTAGAGTCATTACCTTTATTAAAAAAATAAAGTCATTAGCTTTACATCAAAAATTCAAATTTACCCTTTCTTTTCTTTTTTTTTTACTTTCGGTTAAAATTAACTCTTTTTTTTCAGTTAAAATTAACCCCTTTCTAATTGAAAATGTCAGTGTAATTAAGATTTTAAAAACCAGATTAAGAATCTTCTGACTTCTGAGATTGAAAACTGAACAAAATCTATTTTGTTGTTGTTCAAACAAAAAGAGCAAATTTTTTTTGTTTAGAAAAGAAACCTGTTTTTCCCAACAATACTCTATACTCCTATCATAAAATCCACTTACATCAAATTGACAAATTTTGGATATTAAACTTTACACACAATATTTTGTACGTTTCAGAAAATTACGCAACAAGCAAAATTTTCTAATTCCTAAATTTTCTAAGAAACAAAATAGCTCTCTATAATCTACGTGGCAATCCATAATTATGGAATGTTCTAATTATCCCGTCCAAGCTTGCCGTCACGATCACCAGTCTCCACGCGCCGCCGGTGGATAGGGTATTATCGTAATTACCACCATTGGAGGTAAGCTTCTCCTCCGGCCACGTGGCAGTAACACGAGAGGAGCGAGACAATCTCCCGAAGCTCTGTAGTTGTCTCAAAACTCGCCGTGATTCTTCGTCTTCTCCGGCCACTCTCAATACTTCTATTCCCGGCAGAGACCAAGCCGCCGCTGCGGAAACCCCCGGCGAGTGAAAATACTCAAAGGAACGCGACGATTTCGCGCGTTTCTTCGCCGGAAAACCATCGTTGTTCCAGAGATAGACACCGAGACCTCGTCGGACTGATAATATATGTTTCCCGGCGGAAGAAATAAACGACGCCGACGATTGTTTGCCGAATTTCGGTGAAGCTGGAGAGAAATTTCAAAGATCAGAACACAATTTCAAGAGATCGAATTCGAAACACAAGAACTGTGAAGATTCAAAAGATTCGATTTTTACCTCTGAATTTGTGAAGAACTTGGGATTTATCAAAGATCCGGAATTTCAAATCGTCGGAAGATACCATGAGTTTGTCGGAGCTTCCGGGACAAAACTCAACGGCGGTGATTCGGTTTCGTCCTCGGATAATCATCTGATCCTCCATTACTACATCGTTTCCTATAAAATTTCCCAAACTTTAAAACCTAATTACACAAGCGATTGAGAAATCAAATACAAATTTACATTTCCGTTTTTGAAGTACCTGAGATTTGATAAAACCTGCAATTTCCGGTGATGCAACCAACGACGAACCCCTGTAAGAAAAAAACAGAGCAAAGTCTCGCTTTTTAGAAACTCAAAGAAACAGAGCAAAGTCTCGATTTTTAGAAACTCAAAGAAAACAGAGCAAAGCTACACTTGAGAGAGACACTGAGTGAAAAAAACTTACATTTCCGTTTGGTTGGTAACAGATAGCAGAAATGGAATCACGAACATCGGTCCAAGCGACGACTCTCTCTTCTGATAAACCCCAGATTCGAGCTTTTCCATCAATAGATCCACTTACGAAGTTGTTCTTATTCACAGGATTGAATTGAACACAAGTCACTGTATTTTCCAACAAACAAAAGAAAGAACAATGAGTCACTTTTACTTCAGAACAAATCTGTTGCTTCCAATATTTTATAGATCAAAACTAAGTTTACCGTAGTTGTTGTGATGAAAGATATGAAGACATTGATCACTACCAATCCTCCATAACCGGACTGTCTTGTCCTTAGAAGCCGAAAGAAGCAACTGTAAAAACCAAAGACAGATTCATAAGTATAATGGATCAAGAAAACATCAAAGACAAGAAAGAGATTTTGTTAACTCACATTTGAGTCTGACCATGCTAAGTCCAAGACATCTCCGGTGTGACCACAAAGTTCTTGAAACGGTGTTTCTTCTATATGAAAAGCTTTCTGAGGGAACAGAACCAATGCTTCTTCTTGGCTCATTGGCTCTTCTTGCTTAAGAAAAGAGGTCAACAGAGAATCCGAAAGCGTGATTCGCCATATCTTCACAACTCCATCTTCGCCTCCGGTTGCTAAAAACTTACCATCTGGACTAAACTTCAACGCCCAAATTTTCCCTTTATGTCCATTAATCTCTTGTACCTTGTAAGCAGCAGATAACTCTACATGACTCTTGTTGTTAGTCTTCACTTTGACTCTACTCATCATCGCTTCTTCCTTTGGCTTGTATTCGAAATCTTTATCCTTTTCTCCTAGGAAGCAATCGAATAACCATTTCTTAGCACTCATCTTTCTGAAACTCCGCGATGGGCTTGAAGAAGCGATGCTTGAGCTTTGTTCTGAGTCATTCTCTTCTTCAAGTTCCTCCTCATCAGAGATTGAATTGGTTGATCCATAGTTCTCCTCTCTAACACAACATTGCAATTCACTACTTTCACCAAAAGATGATGACTCCGAAGAAGAGCTAGTAGTAACCTCATCGCTGAGATCACTTATCCTCTCCAAACACATCGATTTCTCCTCGTAAAGACCCATTTTCTTGAGAAACTGTTGACGACGTTCCTCAACACTCACTGGCTCACCTGACCAAACTTGAAACTCTGCTTCCTCTATTTGTCCATCAATGGAGAAAACATCAGATGAATCAAAGAACACATCATCAACTTCACTTCTTGAATCACTCTTCATTCCAGTCACAACTTCACAAAAAACTGTAAAGCTCGTTCCTTTTCTTATATAACCTTCTTCGTGTAGCCTCCACGCGGTTCACGGACCGTGAATCTCTCAGTCTTCAAACCTAACCAAAGTGTGAAACAGATTGGTTCTTCCATTAGAGAAAAATACAAACCCGACTCAATTCTCTGAACTTACACAAGTACGAGGTCTTCAACAAAAATGAAAAACCCACAAATTTTGTTAAACTAATCGATTAAACAAAAAGACGGTTCCTGAAACCCAGGAAGTGAATAGAATAATCAAATCTCTTGGTAAGTAAAAGTGTGTACCTTTGTCTCCTTCAGAAGCAATGACGCAACCAAGAAGTCAAATTGTGTTGGCCGACGAGGAATTGGGGTCGGGTTTGATTTGATTTCTTCAAAATCCAACAAAAAACAAAGAAAAAATGTTATTTTTTTTCAAGTTTCTCCGTGTGCCAAAGATAAATATAAAGGGAGATTGAAATAGACAGAACATTCACGTTATGTCTGTGACTGGGTTTTGAGTTCATCAATGGCGGTCCAATCAGAATCCCTGAGATCTTTTGGCGGCGAAGTGGCCGCGATTCAGGAGACAGGAGACAATTAAAAACCTCTTTCCCTCTCCACCCGACCAATTTCTCAGACTCTTTACTCCTTACTGTGTGTTTTGTTTTCGTGCTTTTTCTGCTTATGTCTGCAAAACAACGGCGATTATAAATAAAGAAAGAATTAAAGAATTAACCTTTTTGGATCAGAATCGTATTTAGTGTGCAGAACAGACGAGAAGATACCGATTATCGACAAAACCCAGATTAAGTAAATTCGATAGTTATGAAAACGCGTGTAATTTCGAAATTCTCTTAATTATCTTAAACGATTTTCTTGATTAATTTTTAGTATACTCGAATAAGATGGACAAAAGAGATTATGGAATGATGACTGATGTGAATTAATCTATAGAAAACTTTCATATGTTATACCTTTTTACAAACTTTTGTTTGCCCTAGATTACAAAAAAAAAAAAAATTACCCTAGATTGCAAACATTTATGATCCTATAAGAAAACTAGGTGTTATTGGAGAGTTGATTTATAAAGATTTTTAGAGTTTAAGATTCTATAGTTATTGGTTTGTGGATTACTCTGTTATTCATTTAGAAATTATAAAAATCAGTTGTTATTGATATGATGATTTTTATAATCTAATCAAAATCCATTGTTATTCAAAAAGTCTGCATTTTAATGATTCTATGATTCTGTTATAATCTAGTATTATTGGCATAATGATTCTTTATAATTTAATTCATAAATCATGATTCTTAAAATACTACCTATATCCATTGGATTCTCAAAATCTGTTATATTAAAAAATTATTAATAAATTGTTTAAATCCATAGAACTCTCTCTAAATTTTATAAATCCAACAAAACTCTTAAAAATTTGACAAATCTCATAATTTTTAAAATGAACTAAAATCCCAATAATCCCCCTCTAAAAGACAGCGCACTGACTCTCTTTGCGTATTATTGTTACACTATACGCCTATATTGAAGACATTTCATTTTCTCGGAAGATTCCTACCATTATTTCTCCTGACAAGGCTTTGTCCACTTGCAAACAAATAAATATGCTTTTTTCTCATGCCATTAATTTTCTTTCTTCTATCCTTCGTAAGTCATGAATATTCATATATATATATATATGTATGTATGTATATATATATATATTCTAATTAAAATGATGTTAATATTTCAAAGTTTGTAAACAACATTTTGATGATTAATTAAATTTAATATTTCAACAAAAAATGATGATTATATGTTCATAATAAGTAACGCTTTTCTAATAATAGTGAAATAAATGAAAATTTGCGGTATTGTACAAAGTGTATAGTAAGGAAATGCACACGTGTGTATAAATCTTTTTACTTTTTGGTTTTCTTGTAACATGACAAGGAGAAATTTAGGGAGATACATTTGGACCTCATCATCGTATATTCTGAGAGTGAGACCATTGAAATTGTCAAACGGATCGAATAATAGTTCTAAAGTTCTCAATACATTAATGATTATGATGAAAAAAGAAATGCTATAGTAATATAATATCTGTAAGCTGGGTCGCATTGAGACTTGCACTTGGGAGTCAATACAGATAAGAAGGAATTTAACAGTACTATATGGAGCAATGATTTGTTTTCTACTTGATGTAAATTTTCAGTGTGATTATAAATGTTCTTAATTTTATATTTTAATCTTACATTTTCTACGCAGTTGCCATACAATGAGAAAACGGGGGAATTTCTTGGTGTTAAAGCTTTGAATAGAAAGAGAAATTTATTTTTAATTATTCGTACAAACAAATTTGTACTCTAATTTATTTACAAGGTCACATTTTGATCTAAAATATTTTTAGATGAGCGTAGCAATTTGAAAACCCTGTTTCGGGAAACTAGAAGCATCATATAATTAAGCTCTAACAATGAAAGAAATAAAACATCTTACCGGTTCAAAACTTACCAATGAAAAATGTGATTTGAGGAAACATGTGATACCTATGTTAACCTATATATACTTATATAGTAAAAACAAGTGTTCGAGTTGATTTTAAACGGAAATACTATGAAAAAAATAAGTCTATGGAAATTTTTTGCTTGTTTTGTTTTCCTACCATATGTATAAATATCGACATGAAAAAACAAGAATAAGACTACTTATATATTTTTTTGGATAAAATATAAGACTACGTAATATAGATCTAAATGAAATATATTGGAATTATAATCAGATATACAAGTAAGAACACGAACCAGTAATCTCTTTTCTGCATTTCAGGATTTAAACTGACCTTGTTCAGAAACAATGGCGAAATCTTCAAATTTTGAGAGAGCGAGAGAGAAAAGAAGAGCTTAGGGAAAGGAGATTTAATACTGCAAATAATGCAAATAAAACATTAGTCGTCGACGATATGTGCTTATATAGTTATATGTGTATATGTCTGAGCAATGTAGCACATGATATCGTTGATATATAATATTGCAAATTGACAATAACCAAACAAATTACTTGATCGGATTTTAAAATAATTGAAACTTTTTGGTTATGAGGATAAAGAAAGATTAAAAATAATTATTGAAACTTATGACAACTATTTCTTCCCCAGCTAGTAGGAACGCACATTCTTCTCTATGCTATCTACAGGCATTCACAATCACAAATACAAGCCTATAGATAGGACCAAATGATTCATTGGATACAGATTACAAAATAATTAAATTTATACGAGTAACATAATGCGACGAGTCTTACCTTTTTATTTTGTGATGGGAACCATTGGATGATATTGTTCAAATCTCAAGAGATCTGATTGGTCAAAGTACGCACGTAATTTGGTAGCAAAAAATCTGCAATTTGTTTTGTTATACGGTACCAAACCCAACTCGTATCTTCGTCATGAATTATCCCAAATAATTGAACAATGAAGCACGAGTATATCCAATTATAAAACTAGAAAGGTGATTATTAGTTTATTACAGACTAATGTGGATAAATCTTGAACGTGGAATGTTTTGAATTGGTGAACTTTTACACTGATAATTTGTATTGAACCCTATCTTTTTTAGTTTATATTATCTTAAATTGCGAAAAGGGGAGAGTGTTGGGAAAGTTTTTACATTTCATTCGGTAAGTTGAGTGCTCTACACGCATGGTCTATAGTTTTAAAAATATTTGTTTTTAAAATTAATTTTTCTCAAATTTTGAATTTTTAAACAGAACTCTTACAAAATATTAAATATGTTTTTCTTTATGCGGTAACGAGTTTGAATTTGTGATAGACATTAATATTTTTCTATTTAAATGATAGGTGGTTGAGTTCGACTTTGTAGAAATTAATATTTTTACATTCGGTGATACGAAACCTATATATATAGTTGTAATAAATTGTTGTATCGATCTAATAAGTTCTTCTTTCGACGAAGCCTAATATGCTAGTTAATACTATCTTGACGCCCAAAAAAGGTGCCACGACTAATTGTACCATATATGCTAAATTAAAATATTAAGTTAAGATAAGCTACTGTCTCGAGTCCCATGCAATTGCTGGGTTCTGTTGACTTAATATTCTTTGGACCGGTCAATTTGTGTAGATATACCATAACAATATAACATAAAAAGAAACTAATTTACACAGAAATCATATAAATCACACATTCCATATGATTACTGTAGTAATATTTTGTTGAAAAAAAGTATATCATGACCAAGAAGGTATATATATATATATATTTTTTTTTTCTACGATTATATGTATATAGTTAATATGTTGTGATCAAATACCCAAAAATTATGGGTAGTCTTAAAACTGTGGAGCGATAATTATTGAATTACATATTTAAATGAAGAAATCACCTCAGAAAACGAAACCAATCGGCAATTGCTCCCTTGCCGACAACATTCTTAGACTGTTCATTTTGTAACACTAGAGAGGAATTGGAAGAGGAATTATCCGAACCTAAGCACAGGTTCCATCAGCCGGTGCAGCCGAAGCCACGGCACGAGGCGCTATAAAGAGTTTTTTTTTTTTGGTTTTAGCGCTATACAGAGTTTAATCTCGGTGATTAAATCGAATGAGGATTGCATGGAGATGCATGGTATCTTCGACGATATTCGTTTGCTCTTTGTTTTGTTATTTTTTACATTTCACGAGAAGCTAATTAATGTTGATTCCATTGTAAAAAACACTTTTGGCGAAGACCTTTTTTACCATGTACAAGTGAAGCAAATTAAGCAATCGAACATGGTCCAACTTAAAATCAAATGTTTCGAAAAGAAAATTTTAACTAAATATATGAGTGAAAATTTAACTGATTTTTCAAAATTTATTTTTATCATATTAATATACTTTTAATAAGAAAATTGAGCAGTGCCTACAAATATTTTCAAATATTTTGAGATGGCCCTGCTTTGGGGTCTAGAATTCTCTTGACCAAATTCTATATGTGCGAGGCTCCAATGCCATAAAGTAGAAAAAAGTATGCCAAAATGCCATAGCTCTAATAAATAATTTAATTTTGAATGTTATTTAAGTCCAAAAACCGGGAAAAGACCTTGATTATCCTCATATTTCTATAATATTACCAATCCAACCATGATTTTACCCATCTATCCCATTCAAACCCAATAACCCGACCCAACTTACATTTATTCTTAAATAATTAAACAATAATTTCACAATTAAAAAAAAAATATCTTCAACATACCTTTCTTTATCGATGACTATCTTCCTTTTCTTCAGCCTTTTCTTCTTCTCCATCACTTGGATAATTATCTTTCTCTGTCTTTTCTTCTCACAATTTCTCTTCTCAACCTCACTCACTCTCTTCTCTTCTCCCACTCCAGATTCTCCTCTCTCCCCTTTTTAGTTCACTATTGCTGGGAAATCAGCTGATTAATTCACCTCGGTGAAATCAAATAGAGATGCGAGCGATGGAGGCTGACAAGAGTGACAAGGAGGAATCTCACGTTCTTGAGCTCAATATCATCTCGGCGCAAGGACTCAAAGAACCGACGGGATTGCAGACTTTGTCGATTCCTCCAACAAGCTCCGTACTTGGATTGATCGTATCAAAAAATTCTGATCCGTAGCACTCTTCGGGAAAACCCCGTCTCTCCGGACGCCGAAAGTCCCGTTCTACTGATCAGTGAAGATTCTGCTGCACTTGAATTAGGTAAACAGAAGCTTGCTTCCTGGCTTTATTTCGGATTGTCCTTGAAGTCGTTCTTTTCATACTCAACATAGTTTGCATCGATAATTCCACCAGTTTTGGAAAATGCATTGACGCCGTCTCTAGCATCTCCGATTCACTGGAGGTATGCATAAATTACAGTAACTGAACCAATTTCAGTTTCCTTGAGGCAATTATTTGACTGTTACAACCACTCTTTCGCAGGTTGCTATGTTAATGCTTATCCTCATATTTGCGACGGTACATAGTGGTTTAGCTAGTCTCAGGGATATAGGAGATAAACTCATAGTTCAACGAGCATTTTGTGTTCTATTTGCTGGTATCTCTGTTCCTTTAGCTATTGTGAGTACGCTCTTTCTCTGGAATTATGTCTCTATGTTAATGGAAAAAAAAGACTTGTCTGAGTTTTTCGAAATCAATGCAATGCCTTCTTCTACTTTCAGGTTTTCTTTATAAACCATAGATACGACGGGTCACAGTTATGGTAGCTTCAGGTTATTCTAGGATATTAGAGTGAAAGAAGGAAAGGAGAGGTGAGGCCGAAGTCAACAAGACAAGGCCGATCATCTCCAAGTCAAAGAAGAGGAAGAAGAGGAGTGTCAAGGCCAATGACATCAAGACAAGGCCGAAGACAACTCCAAGATCTCTCAAAGAAGATAAAAAGAAGACAAGGCTGAAGAAGCTATTGAACAAGTCTAGCCTCGGCCTAAAGAAGAAGAAGAACTGTACGGCTAAGTCAACTACAAGAGGTGTCCGTACAAGTCTAAGATTGTATAAGGCCGAGGCCCATTAGATAAGAAGAAGAAGAGGACGCCAATAAAGCCTAAAGAATGCAAGGAATAAGGCCCATAAGTGACAAGAAGAGGAGGGAAACGAATTCAAATTCAAGTCTGCTCTCACATGTGACCGTTTATGAGCTGTCACTTTCAGCTCTTAACAAGACAAAAACGCTCGTCTCTTTATGTCATTCTCAGTCTTGGCTCATGTGTTAGGGCTTCCTCTCTTCCTTTCTCTCTATAAAAAGAGATGTAACCGAGCTTGTAAATGTTACACAGAATCAATGAAGTGATTTCTCTCTTTTATCTTGTTCTTCATTCTATTTCGCAATGTAGAGTCCTTAGAGAAAATCGTTTGTAGTGATTGCCCTTAAGGCAGCCTTATCACTTCATAAACACTCACTTAACTCTTCTTTATTTGCTTCTCTCATCTAGATTACTGAGTCTTGCATCTCAAGAACACAAACTCTCTATGTGTTGTGTTCATTGCTTAGATTAGTCTCAAACTAGATGCTTTCCCTTTATAGAATCGTTTTCTTCCTCATAGATTCGGTTCTACTTATGTTTATTGTGTGGATTCCATCACAAGTTGATGGTCTCTTCTCTCTCTTGAGATCGAGTTTATTTTGTGTGGGTTAAGTGGTTTCATTCACCAAGTGAATGCTTCCACCATTTGTTGAGCTTTGTCTCATAAATCCCAACATGGTATCAGAGCCATCTTTCTTGGTTCCATCTAAAACTCGATTCTCTTTCTGTTTCTGTTTTTTTTTGTGTTTTGTGTTCTTCACTTAGTCCAATGACTTTTCACGAGGACAAAGGTGGAGTTCTCTTTCTGATTTATTTTCTCTTATTTGTGAAAGCTTGAATCTGGTATTGACTTGTGACCAAAAGAACAAGCTTGACAAAAAGAGAAATAGATCTTTAAAAAAACTGGTGGAAAAATTGTTTTTAACCATCAGTGTTTGTTTTTTTCTAAACCATGAGAAGCACTAAGCATTGTGTAATTTTTGTGGTCGTTTTTATTTATTAAAATTCTCATGGGAAGCTCGTGTAAATGGGTTTTTCCTTGAGTTCTTGTGTTAATTGATGGAGAAATTAATTTTCCAATCAGTTTATCTTGTTCCAGCCATTAAAACTCCATAGTCTTGGGATTCTTGGTGTTTTTGGCTGGCATTTGCTTTGGCTTAACTCAAGAAAACAGAGAAAAACTCTTGAGCAAAATTTCTTTTCCCATTCTCCTTTGCTTCCGCTTATTCTCTATTCTCCATTCTCTCATTCTCTTTATTCTTCCCAATATTCTCTTTATTCTCCATTATTCTCCTTATTCTCCAAATTCTCTTTTATTCTTCTGCTTATTCTCTATACTCTAACAAATACAATCTCTTGTTTTAGAATCTGTCTTCAAATTTAAACAGGTTCGGGTCTTAAAAAGGATGGTGTTTGGCTCGTTTGCTATCTCAAGAAGAAGTGGCGAGTTTGAGAGGTCTGAATGGGTCATGTGAGCTGGAAGTCAGCTGGTGGCTGTATTCAGATCCATTAAGGCTTCAAAGAAGCCAAAAGAAGGCGCAGCAACAAGCTTAGAATTGATCAAGAGGGCCATCAAGTTTCAGAGACCACAAGACAAGCCCAACCTAGTTTAACCTGGCTGACTTGAAGATGGCAGACCAAAGAGGCTGACCTGAAGATAGCAGACCCAAGGTGGCTAAGGTGGAAGTTCAAGTGGAGAAACAAGCTGATGGAAGGCTATGAATCAATTCCAAAGTCTTTGCGAGTGCCTTTGGTTTAAGAGCTGAAGATCGGATGTGCACAAGATGTCAAGATCTATTTTGCACATAATTTCAAGGCTCAAGACATGTTTAGTGTGCGGGGGAGCTTAATTGGTGACCAAACCGCATTTCAAAGTCCTCACATTCCTCTTCATATAAATCAGACTAAACTCTAAACTCTATCCCATTTTTTAATTTGCCTTTATTTCATTCCCTTAAGTTCATTTGCGGATTCTTTCTATGAATTGCTTAGTCTATTGTACATCTTTTATTCTTGATATTCCTCATAGGATTTGAAGTTCCTCATTTGGTTATTTGTTTCTTTGATATTCCTTATGGCATTACTTAATCTTTTCTTCTTTATCTCTTGTTTAAGGGAAAAAGGAGACCATAAGAGCCTCAAAGAGACCAAAGAAAGCTTCAAATGCTGGAGAGCCTCAAAGGAGATGACAAAGAACGGATTCATGCGAAGAGAGTTCAAGGCAAGAAGAGCTAAAGGAATGGAAACACTTGGGAGAGGAGCCGGTTCAAAAGCAAATTCAAACCAAGGCCATAGCTACATCAAGCAACCGCTAAACTATACTCTTTTTCCCTTCATAAAGTTTTATCCCAAGAGGTTTTCTTTATGAAGGTTTTTTAATGAGGTAGTTTGGCGTGTTGCAAGCTTGGCCTCTGGTCCTCTTTGGCGTCTCGACGACCAAGCTTGCGGGGGAGTATTAGAGTGAAAGAAGGAAAGGAGAGGTGAGGCCGAAGTCAACAAGACAAGGCCGATCATCTCCAAGTCAAAGAAGAGGAAGAAGAGGAGTGTCAAGGCCAATGACATCAAGACAAGGCCGAAGACAACTCCAAGATCTCTCAAAGAAGATAAAAAGAAGACAAGACAAGGCTGAAGAAGCTATTGATCAAGTCTAGCCTCGGCCTAAAGAAGAAGAAGAACTGTACGGCCAAGTCAACTCCAAGAGGTGTCCGTACAAGTCTAAGGTTGTGTAAGGCCGAGGCCCATTAGATAAGAAGAAGAAGAGGACGCCAAGAAAGCCTAAAGAATGCAAGGAATAAGGCCCATAAGTGACAAGAAGAGGAGGGAAACGAATTCAAATTCAAGTCTGCTCTCACATGTGACTAAAGTCACATGTGACCGTTTATGAGCTGTCACTTTCAGCTCTTAACAAGACAAAAACGCTCTCTTTATGTCACTCTCAGTCTTGGCTCATGTGTTAGGGCTTCCTCTCTTCCTTTCTCTCTATAAAAAGAGATGTAACCGAGCTTGTAAATGTTACGCAGAATCAATGAAGTGATTTCTCTCTTTTATCTTGTTCTTCATTCTATTTCGCAATGTAGAGTCCTTAGAGAAAATCGTTTGTAGTGACTGCCCTTAAGGCAGCCTTATCACTTCATAAACACTCACTAAACTCTTCTTTATTTGCTTCTCTCATTTAGATTACTGAGTCTTAAATCCGCTGCATCTCAAGAACACAAACTCTCTATGTATTGTGTTCATTGCTTAGATTAGTCTCAAACTAGATGCTTTCCCTTTATAGAATCGTTTTCTTCCTCATAGATTCGGTTCTACTTATGTTTATTGTGTGGATTCCATCACAAGTTGATGGTCTCTTCTCTCTCTTGAGATCGAGTTTATTTTGTGCGGGTTAAGTGGTTTCATTCACCAAGTGAATGCTTCCACCATTTGTTGAGCTTTGTCTCATAAATCCCAACATAGGAGTCCATGAAGCTGTTTAGAAAGCTAATTTTGTGTCCTTCTTCTTTCTCTATCCTTCAACCTGCAATCTTCTGGAGGTAGCAGCTGTTGATAAACCAAAGATGCATCTGTGGGACACAGACATCATGAGAATCACTCGACACCCTCAGGTATTGAAACATTTCCTTAGTCAGCTATCATGAGAATCTTCTCTAGATGGTTGGATAAATCGTTTGGTGTTTGGCACATATACCCTGGATTGGAAACACAGTAACTGCATCAGCTTCTCTCGGTTTGATTGCACAACATTTGTTTGGGGCTTGGAATGAAGACATGAGATTAGGTAAAAGATACGGAGAGGGTTTTGAAGGCATCAAGAAGAGAACAAGTGTAGTTCCTTTTGCTGCCATTTTTAAAGGACGCCAAGTTTTGCTTGAGGATTACTACAAAGAATTAATGTAAGGTAGATTACCAGAGTTTGTAAGTTCTTTGGTGAGATGTTATCTTGGATGTTTTGTTTTATCTGTTATGAGTTCTTCACAAAACAAGAATAAAAAAAAAAGAAATCAGCCATTTTTTATTTTATTTTTTGTTATATACTATTTTTTCATCTTTTTATTCAAATGCAAAGATGGACAACTAAGTACAACTGTGGACAACTAAATACAATTATAGTACAATTAATTAAAATTATGGATAGCTAAGTACAAGTGGTATAACTATATAATTTAAAATTATAATTATCATTAATTAAAAAAAAAGTATGGAGTGTTTCTTATAGTTTAAGACATGTTTGCATTTCTTAAATATATACTTTCTTTATATGTTTAATTTAATTTTAATTATTAATTTTTTAAAAATTAAGGTGTTGCATATAGTTGTCCTTACTTGTCTAATTGTCCCTTTTTTATTCACATCCACGAAGTTAGAAAACACGTGTCTTGACTAAATAGACATGTGTGCGGTAAAAGTACCACGTGCGCCGTCAATTTTGTACAAAGTTGTACCCAATTGTCCAGTTGTCCAAAATTCTTCATAGTTATCCTTTGACGATTTTAGCATTTTTCGAGTTGTCCCTTAATATAAATTATTATTTTGTAGTTGTCCACATGATTTCGACTATGCAGTTCATTTATAAGGTTTTCATGACACGAAATATGCAAATCATATATTTGCATCTTTTCTATCAAAAGATTGTTAACATTATGAAAGTCTTTCTTGTATCATAAGGTATGTTTGATGTGAAATCAATAATATGCATTAGGAAAATAAAAATTTCATTTTATCCATGTTATTAATATTGTTCCTTATAGTTTAAGACGTGTTTGCATTTCTTAAGTATATACTTTCTTTATATATTTAATTTAGTTTATTTTTTTTTTAAATAAAGATTTGCATATAATTGTTCTTACTTGTCCAATTGTCCCTTACTTATTCACAACCACGAAGCTATGCCCCGACAAAAATAAATATGTGCGCAGTCAAAGTACCACATGCGCCGTCAAAGTACCACGTGCGCCGTCAATTTTGTACATAGTTGTACCTAATTGTCCAGTTGTCTAAAATGCTTCATAGTTGTCCTTTGGCGATTTTAGCATTTTTCCAGTTGTCCTTTAATATAAATTATTATTTTGTAGTTGTCCACATGATTTTCGATTATTGCAATTCATTTACAAGGTTTTCATGACACAAATTATGCAAAATCATATATTTGCATCTTTTCCATCAAAAGATTGTTAACATTATGAAAGTCTTCCTTGTATCATAAGGTATGTTTGATGTGAAATCAATAATATGTATTAGGAAAATGAAATTTTCATTTTATCCATGTTATTAATATTGTTCTTTATAGTTTAAGACGTGTTTGCATTTCTTAAGTACAGTAAAAAACTCTATAAATTAATAATGTTGGGACTTTGAAATTAATATACATTCTTTACATATTTAATTTAGTTTAATTATTATTATTTTTTTAAAATTAAGGAGTTGCATATAATTGTCCTTACTTGTCCAATTGTCCCTTACTTATTCACATCCAAGAAGCTATGTCCCGACAAAAATAGATATGTGCGCAGTCAAAGTACCACGTGCGCCGTCAATTTTGTACATAGTTGTACCCAATTGTCCAGTTGTCCAAAATTCTCCATAGTTGTCTTTTGGCGATTTTAGCATTTTTTCAGTTATCCTTTAATATAAATTATTATTTTATAGTTGTCCACATGATTTTCGACTATTACAGTTTATTTACAAGGTTTTCATGACACAAATTATGCAAAATCATATATTTACATCTTTTCCATAAAAAGATTGTTAACATTATAAAAGTCTTCCTTGTATCATAATGGATGTTTGATGTGTAATCAATAATATGTATTAGAAATATGATAATTTCATATTATTCATCTTTTTATTATATTCCTGAAAGCATTCTCAGCCAAAAATGAAATTCTCTAGACTAGATTGACTTTCCTAAGTGTTCTGATGTCTGTCAAAGTAATATGTGTATCTATGTGTGCAATCAAATTTGTACATAATTGTACCTAATTGTCCATTTTTTTTAAAATCTAGTTGTTCTTTTGAAATTTTAGTGTTTACATTGATTTTCGACTATTAATTTTTATTTACGAGGTTTTTATAATATAATTATGCAAAATCATATATTTTGCCTCTTTTATTTTATAAGTTAGTTAACAATATAACATAAATAAAATAAGTTATCTGCTCTAAATATGAGGTATTAAATAATATAACATAGATTTTTGAAATCCATTAAATTTTTTCTGTGGTCGATGCTCATTATATCCTGAAAATAAAATAAAAGAATACTCATTTATCAATTATTCAAGTTGTCTTAGTTATACACATTTGTACCAATTGTCCTATATCTCCAAGTTGTACCACTTGTACTAGTTGTCCTCGATTTCATAGTTGTACCATTTGTACCAGTTCTCTGCAGATTTGGTGATAAACTCGGATTCTAATTTTAATCTACCTAAAAATCACTACGATTCAACAATTATATTCACTAAATTACTCATGCAAATACCTAATCTTCACATAAAACTGAGTTACCAACCCGATTTGTATACCGAACAAGCAATTTTTGTAAATTTTATCCATAAATTTTGAAATCCCCAAATCTTTAAATAAAAACCTCACTCAATTTTGAAAAACTTCAACAATGGTAGAGGAGAGAGAAGAACAGAACAATAAATTGATCACAGAGGAGGAAGAAGAGGACGCCGCGGCGATGGCTACTGCGTAATGGGTTGAATCGCGATTTCGAATTCAAGCTCAAAGAAGAAACTGCTCGGAGGAGAAGAAAACTCAAGAAAAAAAAAACCCAGAAATATCCAAATTAATTTAATATCCAAAAATTAATTAAAATAATCAAAATCCACCAAAATCTTTTATGCCACAAAACTGATTCATTAAGGGTAAAATTAGAATTATATATGTGTTATGGCATCTAGACTCATTTATGGCACCTCTGATCATTTGCTTCCAATTTATAGCAATTTAGCCATTAAAATACGTTGAATGACGATGTTTTTTTCTTGATTGATCCGGCAAGTACTCTTCTCTTAAGTAAATTCTGTTATTAAAATATCTTTCCGATCATCACAGTCACACGTTAAACACACTTACCCAAAAAAAAAAGACCACCATAATGCTTTGCATGGAATTTATATTTGCAAAATAAAATTTGATAAAAAAAACTACAGAAAACACACAAAAATCGAATATATTGTTTACTTGCCAGATTGTTTCTTTCTTTTTTTTTTTTGTGGTCAAATCCAGATTGTTTCTTTCTTTATGTCATCCTTAGTACTGGCCAAATTGTACTCGTGAGTTTTTTTTTCTGTTAAAGTCGTGAGTTATTTGTGGTTAATTATTAGTACGTGATTAGAAATGGAGATACGGGTATCAATATCTTGTTAGTTGATTGATTAATAAATAAGATTTGGGTAATTAAGTAAGGTTTTATGATAAGATTCTGCATGTGATCAGCAATCCCTGGGCTTGGCCAAATAATTCATAAACATTTTGCGGTCAGTGTTGTATATATCTTTGTCATATACTATGACTCATAGTAGTTCCTACCTAATTATTTTCTTTTCGTCTGATATGCAAACAAAACTGGGGATATTGTACATACACACCTATTTTTACAATCCAAATCAATACATATGCAGTTTTATAGTTGGCAGGATTGGTCTAAATTTTTTTTTTTATTATATATATATATATTACAATTTAATCATAGATAGAGACACAACGACGATGCTATGTTAAACTATATATCTTAATCGACCGACCGAGAATATTCAGAGAAATAAACAAAATAATCATAATTGTGACCTCAAGTGATAGATATTTTTTTTACTTCAACATAAATTATTGAAGAAATTAATATGTGATATTGGAGAAACAAGTAATAAAATTAAAAACAAACCAAAAACAAAAGGTTGTTTTACACCATTCTTTATAAAGAGTTTTGAAGACCCTAACATGAGAAATGTGCTATATCAATATGGAGGTAAATATATACTCTAGTCCATTGGAATTGCTATTCATATCTTGGCCAAGATAACTTATATATTTAAAGTATGACATTCCATGAATGTTTTACAAAAACACTATTTGAAACCTTATGTTTAAGAATCTACCAACTACTAGAAAGTAGTTACTGAATTTGTATAATTTGTGTTTATTATCCAAATGTAAGTTTATTAGACCAACAATAAAAAGATATTACTTACATGACAAATTAGTGAAATCAAAAACTTAGAAATAATAAATCAAATATATCGGCAAAGTAACGCTTGTAAAAGAACAAGACAAATTTACAACAAGATAATCATTTTCTGCCCTCACTTTTTATGTTTTCCCCCTATAAATATTTTTTTCTTGCATCCGCCCCTGGAGATGCCCCTTGTGCTGATCCATCGTTTAAGCAAGTTGTCATTGCTGCCGGCAAAGTAAGAGTATCGAGAGAGAAATTTGTGCAAGATGATAGAACTTCTATGTGGTTGATGATGCTTCCTACGGTTTTGTTCTCTCCACAAGTTATAAAGCGAAGTTTCGAAAGCTCGAAGCATTATGTAATCTAGCGCATATTTCTAAATTTTATGACTTATCAACCTAACACAAAGTAATCCAAACAACATATGAATAAGAACACACATAAAACAAATAATATCAAGTTTTAGCCCCACCCAAAAAAAAAACTCTCTAGTTTTATCCGACTAACCACATTTTAGATAAGCTAAGACAAATGCCCATTGTCGATTCCTTGCCCTAGTTAAGAGCATGTCATGAATGACTGACCATGTAATAAAACCTTATAGCGGGATAGCATAGGAGAGAACCATACCACTTAATTTATACGATAGCACTTGAGTTTCTCTAATTTGTTTTCCCTTTTTTCTTGCGGAGAAATTTCTCTTAAACTCATCCAAAACCATGTTTCCAAAGTAAAATGTCAGTCTTAGGTAGTTAAGCGATTCCTGAATTTTTTTCAACATGTTTTGGAAATCAAGACTTTGATAGTGCTTGTTGTAGGTGGGCTGAGCACAGCCTCCTTTTCGTAATTTCATTTAGGCCCATTAGCGAAATGAAAGCCCAGTAAGATCGAAGACCACCAAGCCCATGCGCGAAGAGTGAAACGAGGTCGTTCGGGGAGATGACCTTTTTATATCAAAGGAGCAGCTCGCCACCTCGACACGGATGGGACAGCTCGCCACGTCGACGTAGATGAAACAGCTCGCCACGTCGACGTAGATGAAACAGCTCGCCACGTCGACGTAGATGAAACAGCTCGCCACGTCGACGTAGATGAAACAGCTCGCCAGCACGACGTTCTAATAGACGGTCGGTCAGGTCTAACTGCCCGGCCGTCCAAGCTACTCTGACCGAGATGTAACCTAATTTGAACACTATAAATAGCCCTGTAACTTCATTTATTACGGGATCCGTAATCTGAAATAGAGATAAAAATACTCGAGACTTTTAATCATAACTCATACCTCGCTTAGTTACCTCGTTCAAACAACCCCGAAATACTCACATCGATATCACCCCTAATTAATCAAGAATCTCCGAGCTCCACCTAGAAATATTTACTAAAGTGACCTCGCGTGCGGATACAATACAACAGTGCTGAATGTTATGAGCCATTAAGCCGTTTCGACCTAGCCGTTTTTCTCTGCGAAAAGTGAGCTCCTTCACCTCCCCTCTCCGGCGTCGGCGAGACGTTGGACTCACCCTTCTGATCCCTTTTCAGGCCCTCCCCTCCTCATGGGAAAGAAAAAACCCAAACCACCCAACAAAAAATTCCCCCCCCTCCCCCCCCCCCCCCCAATTTCTCATTCCTGTCAATCCTCCGCCCCTCCTGCTTCTGTTGTTGATGGTTCGCCGTCAACCCAAATTCCTCAGAATGTGGGCCTCGCGACTACCGAATCTCTTGCCAAATCCTCTGTCTTAGACATGGGTCTGGATATTTCCTCTGCAGATCTGAACCCAGATGTTGCGGCTGACTCTTTCGATCTGGATCTACCTGCTACGGAACCTGTGGCTAACCCAGCTACCAATTCTGCCCAGAAGTCCTCAGTCTCTGCTGACTCCAGTGCTTCACGGCAGCAAAATGATACTTCCCCTGATGCCTCCAAGGGAAACTCGAGAAATTCTCAACAATCTGCGGAAACTGTGAAAGCGGTGGACCCAGTCGTGCAGGATGCTGAACCTGCTCAGGTGGTGGACTCTTGGTGCGCGCGCGTCAAGGGTATTACCAGGAAACTGGAGAAGAAGGGAGAAACTTTCATACTTCCCTCCGGCGAGAAATGTGTCAAAATCCCTAACACTGTGATTGATAAAAGTAAAAAATCCTGAGAGTTCTTTGTCTTAGGGCAATTCTATTCCGACCCACCGGCTCAAGGTGTAGTGGATAACATTGTCAATGGCATTTGGACTAGACACAGAGACATTACAGTGTCAAAGATGGAAGGAAACACTTACCTTTTCAGAATACCAAACAACTTCAACAGACAACGCGTGCTGAATCAGATGCTCTGGCAAATCGAAGGGCAGACTATGTTTGTGGCAAGTTGGGAACCGGGTGTCGGTCCTGTCAAACCGGAGCTAACATCTGGGCCCATCTGGCTTGAGCTCAGGAAAGTTCCGTTCCAGTTTTTCAACGATGAAGGCCTCGAGCGTATCGCAAGTATGGTTGGTGATCCTAAGTTTCTTCACCCTGCAACCGCGAACAAAACCAATCTCGAAGTTGCTAAAGTCTTTACCATTATTGATCCCCGAAAGCCTTTGCCTGAGGCGGTAAATGCTCAATTCGAATCTGGTGAGATTGCTCGAGTGGAGGTCTCCAGTCCGTGGATGCCCCCAATATGTGTCCATTGTAAACAAATCGGGCATGATGTAAAACTGCTCCAATCACCTGTAAGGCGTGCAACTCCACCTCTCATTCGAGTGACAAGTGTCCCATGGAACACACTTCCAACGCGAGCAGAAACGCTAAGAAAAAGGTTAAGAGACAAGCCGCCCCGGAAATAATACGAGTATCCTCATTTGAGTAGGGAAGCTCTAGCGCTGGTGATGCCAATAAATCGTCTCACAGGAAACCTCTTGCTCCGGAAAAAATGGATTCTAACCCAAAGAGTAAAGGCATTGTTATTGGCCCTGCTTGGGTTCCGAAAAAGCAAGTAACCTATGATCCCTCATCCAAAGGAAAGCAGATCGCAGAACAGAGTTCGGATGTTGAATCAGAATCAACAGATGTTCCATCGGCTACTGCAAGCGATTACTTCTTTATATCAGACGAGGAAGAGCAATTCACAAAGGTTCTGTCTAAAAGACAGAAAAGGAATTCTCGGAGCGAGGGCTCCAAAACTCAGTAATCTATATGTATATAGACCTTTTTTGTTGCGCGGTTTTAATATTACTAGTCATCGCAGAGACTTTAAATCATGGATAAAGGCTAACATGCCCATTTTTGGTAGTATTATTGAGACTCATGTCAATCAGGCGAAGCAGGCAAAACTTATAAATAGTGTTCTTCCTGGATGGCAGTTCGAGGAAAACTATGCGTATTCTGACCTGGGGAAAATCTGGATTTTGTGGCACCTTAGTGTTAAGGTGGACATCATCTCAAAGTCCCTCCAAATGATATGCTGTGAGGTTCTGCTGCCAGGGTCCAACACGCCTATTATAGTTTCTTTTTTTATGCGGGTAACCAAGAAGAGCTTAGAAACATGGTTTGGGATGAGTTTCTAAATCTTTCGATTCATCACAGAGTGGCTGGGAAATCCTGGGCGGTAATGGGTGACTTCAACCAGACACTTGACCGGGAGGAGCATTCTTCTCCGTCAACCCTTAATATCGACAGAGCGACAAGAAATTTCAGAGATTGTCTTACGGGTGCTGGCTTATCTGATCTTACTTTCAGGGGTTTCACCTACACATGGTGGAATAAGAAGCTTCGAAGTCCTATTGCGAAGAAGTTGGACAGAATCCTTGTTAATGATAACTGGTTGAATCTGTTCCCATCGGCTTATGGTTATTTTGGGGAACTAGATTTCTCGGATCATTCTTCGTGTGGGTTAGTTCTGTGCAAGGAGAGGCTAAGACCGAGAAGAGCTTTCAGATTCAACAACTATCTGGTCAAAAATCAGGAGTTTCTCCCGACAATCAGTGAATATTGGTACTCCACGACAGTTCATGGGTCTGCAATGTTCAGAGTAGCAAGGAAGCTCAAAGGGCTGAAAAGTGTAATCAGGAGTTTCAATAAGACAAACTACTCAAACCTTGAAATCAGGGTCTCAGAAGCGCATGCGATTCTCCTGGATATTCAAAATCAGGTGCTTTCTAACCCCTCTTCTGCCTTAGCTGAGCAGGAATTTGAGGCTCATCGCAAATGGAGCATTTTGGCTGAGGCAGAAAACCAGTTCTTGTGGCAGAAAGCCTGCATTTCCTGGCTGAAGGATGGTGATTCCAGCACTGCTTACTTTCACTGTATGATTGCCTCTCGCAAGGCCGCAAACCACATACATTTTCTTCTCGATAATGAAGGAAACCGCTATGACACGCAAGAGGAAATCCAGAGCCACTGCATCGATTACTTTGAGAAGCTCCTTAACAGAGATGATGGGCTCATGCCTTTTGCGCAGGAAGATCTTAACAGTTTGATGAACTTTGAGGTGCTCTTTGGAGTAGCGCGTAGCTCTTGACATGAGCTTCACCGCCGATGATGTCAGAGATGCTTTCTTCTCCTTGCCAAAGAACAAATGCTGTGGTCCCGATGGTTATTCATCAGAGTTTTTTACCGCTTGTTGGAGTGTTGTTGGACCAGAGGTCACAGCTACGATCTTGGAATTTTTTGAATCTGGTTGCTTGCTCAGTCAGTGGAACGCAGCCTTGCTTGTAATCATACCAAAGGTTCCCAATGCTTCCAGAACAACGGATTTCAGACTCATATCCTGTTTGAACATGCTTTACAAGGTTATCTCTAAGCTCTTGGTGAATCGCTTGCAGCTATTACTTCATCATATCATTTCACATTCCCAATCCGCTTTCATGCCTGGCCGACTCCTTGCTGAAAACGTCCTTCTCGCCTCGGATTTAGTCCATGGATACAACAGAAAAAACATCACACCGAGTGCCATGCTCAAAATGGACCTTGCACTATGGTTGCTGATGCCTGCAGCCCCTCCGGATGGAAGCTGCCGGCGCTGCGCTCGGATCAGGCTCTTGCGTTTCATGCTCATCTAACTACGGTCCCCTTGCCTGTCTCTGCCTCTCTGTGATTCGTATGGATGGTCTGTGAATGGAGTCATCTGTAATGGTTTCTCCTCGTATAAAACGTGGGACTCTCTGCGACCGCGCGCTGATTTTCAGCCTTGGACGAAGTCAGTCTGGTTCAAAGGCGCCACTCCGAAACACACATTCATGATGTGGATCGCGCATCTGGATCGCAGTGCTTGTTCTGCTCTACCAGTCCTGAGACAAGAGAGCATCTCCTTCTGTGCTGCTTTTATAGCCGGGATATCTGGACTCCGTTGTTGCGTAGGCTCGGGTTTAACACAAAAATTCTTGCCTCATGGGCCTCGCTCTTGCGCTGGACTTCAGGATCCTCATCATCTGCCCCTGGCACCCTCAGACGACTAGCGGCTCAAGCGACCTTATACCACATATGGCGTCAGCGCAATAACCTGCTTTTCAACGCTCAACCCATTCCGGCCGCGACGATTTTCAAAGACATCCACCGTATTGTCCGCAACTCAATCTCAGCTTGGAGAGAAAGACGCAAGTTTGCCTCTCTAATGCCTCTTTGGCTCTTGTGATGGAATAATTATCATCTCATCCAAACAAAATTGTTTCCTTGTTTTTTTTATCTCTTTTTTGCCAAGGGAGCAATTGTATAGCTTTATCCATGTAAAAGTCTAACATTCATTATTAATGATATTTGCAGTTTTAGAAAAAAAAAATTTTGAGCCATGATAAGAGGCGGACCCACACAAAGGGAAACGGAGTCACCTAAACCATGTTAAATTATAAAATTATATTTTCAAGCTTAAACCAAAACACTATTTTTGGCTAGTTTGGTTAACTGGTTTTTTAAACCCTGTAAGTTCAGTTCTTGACGTCAAGTTCGGGTCAAATCATTGGTTATTACAATATTTTATTTGGTTGAATTGTGTGTAGATAGATAATAAATAATGATATTTTTGTTATATAAAAAAAATTTAAACATCTTATCTTAAAATGAAAAGGATATAAAAATTTCAGTGAAGATAAACATTAATATATTTATACACTAGCACAATCTCAACTGGTTTTCAAAATGGAGATTTTTACTAAGCATGGATGGAGTCATACTTCATAGGGAGAGAACTGATACACATTCTTGGTCATGAACTTTGGTCCCACAAAAGAAAACTCTAGAGGACTATCAAGTTTCCCAAAGATTCCAAACACTGTGTCCAACCATTCACTTACTGCTTCAGTGCTTCTAGACTACTACAGTTTCATTCAAATATCAGAATCACTTGGGAAGGGATCATACCGTGCAACAAAAGTCATCGTTGTTTTAATGTACCTTTTCGTAAACGTAAGCAGATGGTTTTCTTGTGTTGGGCATGAAAGATAACAAGAAGAAAATAGCAGCAATCTTATGAAGGAAGATGTCTGAATCTCTGCTGTGACACAGTGACCCGCAGCCTCCAGCTGCATTTTCATTTTGTACGAAATCCACGCGCCATGACAGAGCCCATGTACGAGCACAAACTGCTTCTATTTCTTCTTCTTCTCCATTGCTATCTTTACTTTCTGGTCCATACACTTTATATATACGGTTAGGTTCCCGCAAATACTCTTAGTATATTGACTGAGTTTTTTTGTTCTTTTTATTTTAATGCATAGAAAACAATAAAGTCTGAGTCTTTAGAAAGATCCAGTTTAGAACACACACTTTATTGTATCTAATTCAAATACATTGCCTTCTTTACTTCTAGCATCTTGGTTCAACACTTATATATTGCCTATTAGTTTTGACTAATACCCTTGAAATCTTCTATAAAAAAAACAACAATTCATTACTACTGACATTCTTTGTAACATCTCTATCTCGGCTTCCTAGAAAACCGAGAATCGGACATGTTAGGTTGGCCATCTAACCGCATTCGGTAAGACGCCTGGTTTGGTCCAGCTGATGAGCCTTAGGTCTGCCAAAATCGAAAACGCCCAGGTAACAATCAATAACTGATATAGCTGATCTACCTAAAAATAAAACAAGAAAGAATGAGGGGTGAGTAATTTGGGATTACTCTGCGAGAATGGGCCTTAAGGAGACCCACAACACCATCAAACAAACATGAATATAGCAGAGAACCTAATCCTAAAACAAGCTAGCAAGCAAGGATAACCTTACAATACCAAAAATAGCGGAAGAACCTTGACCCATTGAGGGGAGCATCAATGTTTCATCAACAAAGTCACCCCACCCACCAATAACCACAGAAAGGGTCACCCAATCACCACAGAAAGGGATCTCACTAGGCCAAGCTACTCCGCCCCGATCACCACAGAAAGGGATCTCGTGTACAGACATGGCACAGGCGGTCACAACTGACAGGTCTCAGGTCACACAGACTGATTTGGAAAGATCGGCGTACCTTCCTCCACCGTTGGGCTAGTGCCACGGTCACACAGACGGCACTAACTCAGCAAACAACACCGACATATCACAACAGATAAGTCGGAGACCTAACAATTCTATATCACACAACCTAGTTTATCTCAAACAGGGTAGATCCAGATAAAACACAATCAATCCATATTTTAGGGTTCCATAGATTTAGATCCATATTCAGATTCATTATTTAACATTCCACCAGCAACCAGCAATCATAAACACACAGTCAACAGAGATCCAGGTCCTAACATTCTTTAAACCCTAGCAAACAGATCTAGTACTTGATTTAAGAATAGTCTAACTACCATAGACATGAGTGAAAGAGAGGTTGAAGCATGAAGTCCTCACCTTGGCACTGAGGGCTGCGAAACAGGAGGAGGATAAGGCATTGGAGGTGGTGAAAATTTTCTGTTCTCGTTAGAAAATGGTCCGCCTAATTTGTTTCGATAATATTATCTTATGCATGTCATTGTGTGATACTTTGATAATATCTGGTTTGGGACAAATAGTGCCATAGCCATACCACACAATTCCATTCTTGTACAAGAGCTTGTGGTTGTAGAGCATTGCCATATTATCTTGTATCTTTGATCTCCATTACTTCTTTTACAGGAAAATTATTGATCATCCAACGCTGGTAATCCTCGGTGTTCTTAATTATTACTCAAAAAAGAGAGTAAGAAGAAGAAAAAAAATTCTAAAATTGTGAACTGATCATTGAAAAGCAGTAACACCAGAATCAGAGTGTGTTGATATTTAAGGTATCTTTGGACTAAGTACCACCAAAATTTTTACAATGTTGAAGTTGATATATTAGAGAATTTTTAGAAAAGTAAAGATATAATTCCTAGGATCATGCTTCACAAAATGGTTGGTACATCAAAAAATTTGGTGGTACTAAACATCCAAACAACATCAATATATCCAGTACATAAACACAAACTAATGATAATGGGTATTTGTGCTACTTGGGTACTTAGTACCACCAAATCTTTTTATATATCAGTTTCCTTGTTAAGTATGATGGTAGGAATGACATCTTTATTTTCCTAAGAATCCATTAATTTACTACCTTCTAATATTGTAAAAATTTCATCCTAAAATAATTCTTAATACTCTTGGTCTAGTGTTGCTGGTTCTTCAATAATTGGTTCACAAGTTTTGGGATCTCTGTGCTTCTTTATGCTTTCTTGTTCACACGATTTTCCTTATTTACCGTTTCTATAAGTTTATCGTTCTGTGTTGAAAGATTATAGAAAGGTAGACCTTCTATTTTGTGTGCTAAAGGTAGATCAAGTTTCATAATTTTATCAAATCCTTGTTCTTGACATGTTAATTTTGTTTTGTCTTACAACGGTTTTGTTATACCAGATTCCATGTTTTTAATCTGAACTATTTGCTTGAGCTTATGCAATCTTCTTATATCATCTGTATACAATAGGTCGTTAATCCTCTTCCTAATTAAGAAGGTCAGCTCAACACATCAGTAAAACCTTTGAGAGGTTTTAAGCTTAACTAAATTGTCCATTTTATGTCCACTTGAGCTCATCACTATTAACTTGATCTTATCAAGTTCTCTTTCAAATGTATATTTTTAAGGTTTAAGAACTAGATTCTCTATTTTATAGAAGCCCATTTGAAACCTTTTTATAAAGTCATTCGCCTTTTCGAATATGTGTTGGTAGAACAAAGATTTGGAGATGAAACCCATCAACGGCTGGCTCGGCCGAGGCGGAGCTAGATGGTGTGGTAATGTGTTACCCAGATGATCATATATATTGTGGGGTTGTAGTGAGTTCCATGATACTGCAGTTTTTTTTATAGAGACAGAACTAGCCTTGTACCCAAGCAAGTCTAGCATGGGCTTGCAGTCTAAAATCATATAGAATTAATTTAGGGAGCAATATCCTCTAAACAATCTTTCGTATGCCAATGGTTTTAGCACAGCTTATCTTTTTAAAGTGTCAACAGATCGAAACAACCTTCTTACACAACATTCTTATCCTTTAATATAGAATTTATGAACCTTAAAATATTTTTGTTTGGATTGGTGCCCCTTATCTTCCAGGCCGACTGAAGCCGATGAAAGCTAAGAATTGAAGATGTAAAACTTCAGAGGATGCTGATGAGGAAACGCTAAAGGAGTCAAACTCAAAATGTGTGAAGAAAGGAAAAAGGAAATTAGACTTTTTACTAGTTTGAAAAGAATTAGGAAAGGTCTTGTGCTAGTCTCTATAAATAGAAGACTAGATAGGCTTTAGAAATTGTGGGATTAAGAGCTAAGATTTCTAAAGCAAGTTTTTTTAGAGATATTGTGTTTTTTAGCTTACGAACAAACAAAATCTTAAGAACAAGTTTAGATTTTTCTAAGAGAGACTTGTAAGTTCTTAAAGAAGATCTATTGAATTTGTTGGAAGAACCTGTTTCGGATAAATTCGCATCTCTAGTGTTTCTATCTTTTTGAATTGGTATCAGAGCAAGTCACCTTACTTATTCAGGTGAGATCTAGTGGACAAGATGGAGAACTCTAGAGAAGTTGTTCTTGTGAAATAACCTGTTCTAAACAAAGCAACATATGGATGGTGGAAATCAAAGATGACAGAAATCATCAATAGTATTGACGAAGATGCATGGACAGGTGTGGAAGAAGGGTGGAAACCACCAACCAAGAAAGACAAAGACGGAAAAGATATTCCCAAACCTAAAGCAGAATGAACCGACGATGACAAGACTCTGTCAAAGTGGAATTCCAAAGCGCTGAGGGAGATCTTCAAATCCGTGAAAGTAAAACAGTTCAAGCTAATACAGAGTTGCAAGTCTGCTACGGTTGCATGGGAAACGCTACAACGTGTGTATGAAGAAACAATGAATGTCAAAAGGAGTCAACTTGACATGCTGGCTTCAAAATTTAAAAACCTGAGAATGGAAGAACGTGAATCAATTGAAGAATTCAGTTCTTAACTATTTTCAATTGCGAATGAGTAAGAAGTTCTTGGGAAGAAATATAAAGACAAAAAATTAGTAAAGAAGCTTCTAAGGTGCCTACCACCTAAATTTGCAGCACAAAAGACATCTATGAGAGTGTCCTTAAATACCAATGAACTCAAATTTGATGAAGCAGTTGGCATGATTGAAGCTTATGAGATGGAATTGGCAGCTGAAAAACCTAAGAAACTTAAATCCATTGCATTCGCTGCAACTGAAGAAAACAAATCTGGTAATCTGGAAGAAACAGTTGCTATTTTGGTAAAAAGAGTTCACTCGTGAACTCAGAAAGGAACAAGGAAACAAACGATTTGGGGATATGACAAAATCCACTGAAACAGAGAAGAAAAACTGGAAATCTGACATTCAGTGCTTTGAGTGTAAAGGATTTAGACAGCTGGAATGGCTGGAAGAATCAGATATGGGTAAAATCAAGAGATTTGTATGGCAAATCATATTGTCCAAGTTTTGAGAATGAACTCAGATGTTATGCAGCCTTCATTACAAGTGAAGATCAACTAGAATCCAACATTAATGAAGAATCCTTCTGCAATTTTATGGACTTTTTGTCAGAAAACGATAGTGAAGATGAAGAAGAGCTAGAAAAAATTCTGAATTTCACTAAGAATGAAAGAAAAAATTAAAATGTGTAGGTTGCTACAGAAGGAAAAGAGAGATCAGTGTGGTACTTCGATAGTGGATATTCTAGGCATATGACAGGAAAAAAACAACTTTTATCTGAGTTCGAAGAAATATCCAAAGGAAAAGTTACCTTCGGTGATGGTGTCAAAGAAAGCATCAAAGGAAAAGGTGTGACACAGAGTCCAGATCAACCTTCACTCATCAATGTATTCTATGTTGAAGGCTTGAAAGCAAATTTGATCAGCGTCGCTCAGTTATGTGATCAAGGCCTTCAAGTCATCTTCACCCGAACTGAATGACGTGCAATTGATGATAAAGGAATTATCATGCTGAGAGGTGTAAGAGCAGGTAATGATTGTTATATGTGGAAGCCTTCAGATAACTGTCTTAGTGCCAGAGATGATCTACACCTATGGCATCAAAAGCTGGGACACATGAATATTGGAAATTTGACAACATTGGTCAACATGAAGTGATCAGAGGAGCTCCAAAATTTACAGATGACGAGAAGCTTGTATGTGGACCCTGCAAGATGGGAAAACAAGTTAAAGTACAACACAAGAAGGTTCAAGATATTCAATCAAAGTTTATACTTGATCTCATACACATGGATTTAATGGGTCCAATGCAAGTTAAAAGTATAGCAGGAAAAATATATGTGTTTGTGCTTGTGGATGATCTCTCAAGATACACATGGGTTAGATTCATAAGAGAAAAGTCTGAGACAGTTGAAACCTTCAGAATCTGGGCATTACAGTTAATGAACGAAAGGAGAACAAACATCAAAAAGTACGCAACGACCATGGAGGAGAGTTTCAGAATGAAACTATGATCAAGTTTTGTAACAGCCAGGACATTATGCATCAGTTCTCAGCACCACGAACGCTGCAACAAAATGGTGTTGTGGAAAGAAAAAACAGAACCTTTCAAGAGATGGCTCGTGCCATGATTCATGTGAACAAAGTACCAATTCGTTTCTGGGCCAAGGCTATTAATATAGCTTGCTACAATATAAACAGAGTTTATGTTAGAAAAGAAACAAACCAAACTCCATACGAACTATGAAAGGGAAAGACACCTACTGTGAGCTACTTTCATGTTTTTGGATGTGTATGCTACATCATGAATGATAAAGATCAGCTGGGGTAGTTTGATGCAAGAAGTGATGAAGGAATTTTCTTAGGATATTCTGGAAACAGCACGACTTACAGAGTTTATAACAAAAGAACTTGTGTTATCATGGAGTCAGTAAATGTCGTATTTGAAGACTTTTATACTGAGTTGTTCCATGAAGAATCAAGCAACACAACAGAATGTCCAAAAGTCGATCATGATAAAGCATCAGAATCAGTCAAGGAAGAAGAGAATTCTCTTGATTCACAGCTGAATGAAAGCATACAAGTTCATAAAAATCATTCTTTAACGGATGTGATAGGAGACATTCACGGTGAAAGAAAATCAAGAGGTGTTCAGTTAAACTTCAGAGAGATGGTTCATTTTGGTTGTTTCGTGTCTGTTGTAGAGCCCAAAAATCATAAAGAGGCTCTTATTGATGATTTCAGGATTTTGGCAATGGAAGAGGAATTAGAGCAATTTGACAGAAGTGAAGTTTGGGAATTGATGCCTAGACCAACAGGTGTAAATGTTGTTGGAACAAAATAAATTTTCAAAAATAAAATCGATGAAGACGGAGTAGTTGTAAGAAATAAAGCCCATTAGTCGCTTAGGGATACTCACAAGAAGAAGGGATTAATTTCAACGAAACGTTTGCTCCAGTGGCACGTCTAGAATCCATACAGTTCTTGCTGGGTATGGCATGCATTGCTGGGTATGGCATGCACTGTTGGGTTTAAACTGCATCAAATGAACGTAAAGAGTGCGTTTTTGAATGGAATTATTCAAGAAGAAGTTTATGTTGAACAACCCAAAGGCTTTGAAAATCCAGAACACCCAGATTATGTGTACAAATTGAAAAAAATACTTTATGGTCTAAAACAGGCTCCAAGGGCTTGGTATGAGAGGCTAACTGGGTTTCTGATTGAAGGTGGTTTCTCAAGAGGTAGTGTAGACAATACTTTATTCATTCTAGAGAAAAACTCAGAACTAATGATGGTGCAGATTTGTGTAGATGACATAATCTTTGGAAGCACTTCTCCAAAATTAGTTGATGTGAAGAATATGACAAGTAAATTTGAAATGAGTCTTGTAGGAGGGTTAAACTACTTTCTGGAATTACAGATTACACAAACAGAAGAAGGGATATCCGTGTCACAAAGTACTCATGCTAAAAACCTGGTTAAGAGATTTGGACTTGACACAAGTAAAGCAGCAAGAACTCCTATGAGTACTACTACGAAGCTGTCAAAAGATAAAGGAAGAGAAAATGTTGATGAAAATTATACAGAAGAATGATAGGAAGTCTACTCTATCTTACTGCTAGCTGATTAGATTTATGCTTAAGTGTGGGGTTGTATGCTAGATATCAGTCAAAGCCTAAAAAGTCTCATCTACAAGCTGTAAAAAGAATCTTGAAGTACGTCAAAAAACCTTAAGTTTTGGGATTATGTATTCACGAAACACTAACACCAGTCTTGTTGGGTATTGTGATGCAGACTGGACTAGATGCATAGGTGGCAGAAAGAGCACAAGTGGAGGTTGTTTTTTCTTGGGTAATAATCTGATTTCATGGCGTAGTAAGAAACAGAATTGTGTTTCGTTATCTACTGCAGAGGCCGAGTAAATAGCTATGGGAAGTTGTTGTACTCAGTTACTGTGGATGAAACAAATGGCTGAAGATTATGGAGTTAACTCAGGACCTCGGTTAGTACGATGTGACAACAAAAGTGCAATAGACATCTCTAAAAACCCAGTTCAACATTTAAGGACCAAGCACATGGATATCAGACATCACTTCATTCGGGAATTGGTTGAGAAAAAAAGAAGTTTTAATTGAGCATGTGGTTTCTGAGTTACAGCTAGCAGATTTATTCACAATGCCATTGGATTTTACTCAGTTTGTGAATTTACGAACTGCACTGGGTGTTTGTAAAATCTAAATCGTTCTCATATGTCTTAAAAAAACGAAAAAATAAATAAATAAATAAAAACAAGAAAAAATGATGGAGTTTGGACAAGATGGTGTGTAGGAGATGGCCCAAATTAGTATTGGGTTAACAGGCTGTTTTGGGAAAGATAAAATTGGATTAAACCAAGGAGGTTAGAGTAAATATCTCAGCTGTGGTACAAATAATTTTGGTGTTTCATAAATTCTAGTTCTGTGTTTTTTTGCAAAATCACAAGAAAGTTCTAATTCTTACTGAAGAAAGAGATGGTAAAAAACCAGAAATTTGAGAAAAAATAAAGAGGTCTTACTTGAAGATTCATTCAGGATCGACATGGGTCCCTTGTTTTGAAGACGTTGGAGGAACTGTGGATGGAGAAGACAAATCGAGTTCCAAATCACCACAACTACAAAATTCACCACACTACTTGGTTTCTACTCCAGCCGAGTTAGCTCTTCTCACAGATTCAGAGAAGTTAGATTAAAATGTCGAGAATGGATTATAAAGAGAAGACAAAGTGGTGGAAAACACAAGCTCCTATAAGTCTATCGGTGACAACAACACTTGTATCTCCTTGTTTGACGGCTCTGCAAACTCGACGCCGGCGAACTCTTCGTCCAAATCCAGAGCTGATAACTCATCTGATGAAGAATTTTCTACTACAATAAAAAATAAAGGAGCTACTTCAGAAAAGAAGAGAAAACAGATCCTTGTGAGAAGAACCTATCAGAAGAAAGCAAGAGTCTTGACAACTTGATACACTCGGGTATCTGTGTTGTTGATTTTTAGAAGAAGGGAGAAAGAAATGACAGAAGAGACTGAGAAGAGAGCGAGAAAGGAAAGAAGAGGCAGAAGAAAGATAGATAATTTGTGTATTTCATAAGATAAGAAAACCCTAAAGTATCGGGCGCATTAAATACAATGTTCACGCTAAATGAAACAACATAGTTTTAGGCAATTGAAATAAGCTACTGCAAAAAAAATAAAATAGCAAAGCCTCTGCTACAAAAGGAGACACCAAAGTCTTCTAGTCGTTCCTTAGCCACTTTTACGATCCATTGCCTTCTCTTGTCTCTGATTCTCTCTCTCTCGCTTCTCTTAAAGTATGCCGATGGGAAGCCAAGTAATTCTATCATCACCCCTCGAGAAGACTCAGGCTTGTCCTCCAACCTGAAAATTTGGGTAGTGAAAGGCAATGTGATTGATGGTTCCCAAGAAGCCTCTAACTTTGATAAGTTCTTCCACTTCAACAATACCCTCAGGCTTCCCATTCTTCTCTTTCCTCGGATACCCAAGAATTTCTCAGGCTCTGCATTCACACTAAGTCTGGAGAAAGGACAATTGGTATGTCTTGCACTGACTCGCTGGAGACACTGATTTCTTGAGTTGGGAGATATGAAAGACATTGTGGATGATATTATGCGGAGGTAACAGAAGCTTGTAAGCGATTTTACCAACCCGACTCAGGATCTGATATGGACCCAAAAAACTTGGTGTCAACTTCTCATTCCATCTCATAGCCACCAAAGCCTGGCGATATGGCCTGAGCTTTAAGTACACCCAATCCCCAACCTGATCTCGACATCTTTCCTCTTTTTGTTCACCGAGTTCTGCATAATCCTGCAAGCCTTTTCCAAGTTCCTGCTCAATTCCTCAATCATTTCATCCCTGCTCAGAATCAACTCTTCCACCTCAGTGTTCTTGGTGGGGATGTCTCCATAGCTGATCAGCTTTGGAGGCTCTCTGCCAGACAGGACCGTGAAAGGAGTGGACTTTGTGGAGGAATGGTAAAAGGTGTTATACCATAACTCTGCCCAAGGAAGCCACTGGCTCCATGATTTCGGCGTGGAGTTATCAAAACATCTTAGGTAAGTCTCTAAGCACCTATTTACAGCTTCTGTCTGTCCATCAGTTTAGGGGTGGTAAGCAGAACTTCTCCTCAAATATGTACCTTGGGACACAAACAGAGCATACCAGAAGTTACTCAGGAATATTCGGTCCCTATCTGACACCATAGTTTCAGGAAACCCATGCAACCTGTCAACTTCTCAGATGTACACATCAGCTAAGGTTTTGGCAGTAAATGGGTGTCTAAGCGGTATGAAATGTCCATACTTGCTCAAATGATCAACTACAACCAATATAGCATCCCAATCACGTGAAATAAGTAACCCTTCCACAAAATCAAGACTTACATCGGCCCATACCTGAGATGGAATAGGGAGTGGCGACAGAAGTTCAGCTGAGGATAGTGTAGAATACTTGTTCTCCTAGCACGTCAGACAACGAGCAATGTACTCTACAATAATCTTTTTCATCCCTCTCCAATAGACCTCCTGAGACATTCTCTTATATGTCTTCAGTATTCCCTCGTGTCCTCCTATTGGGCCAGAGTGGAATTGCTCGATCAGGGTTGGTATAAACGTTGACGCAGAGGGAATAACCAATCGCTTTTGTACAACCCCTTTTCCAAGTAGTAGCCATCAGCTCTCTCCACACCACCTTCCAAGTCTTTTATGATGGCTTGTGACTCTGGATCATCGGCTACCTGCTATGTCAGTTCCTCACTATCAAAAGTTAATGGAGCCGTGAGCTGCATCACGATCAACTCCTTTGCGGGAGGCCTCCTTTATAACACATTCCGCTATTCTGTTCTTCATGCCCGGTTTGTACTCGATAGAGTAATTGAGACCAATAAACTTCAAAGCCTATCTTTGCTGCTCTACAGGAACCATCTTTTGATCCAACAAGTATTTCAGGCAGCGCTGATCAGTCGTTATCACTACCTCACTGCCCAGGATGTAGTGCCTCCATTTGGTAAGGGCAAACACAATCGCCAACAGCTTTTTCTCACACACTGATCTCAATTTTCCTTTATCTGAAAATTCTTGACTAGTGTAAGCTATCGGTTTGTTACCTTGAGACAGAACAGCCTCTATGCCTGCTCTGGAAGCATATGTTTCAATGATAAACGGTTGGTTGAAGTCATAAAGGGATAACACTGGTAGCTTAAGCATCACATCTCTTAATCTACAGAAAGACTCGGTCGCCTCGGGTGACCACTTGAACCCATATTTCTACAACACGCTGGTAAGTAGTTTATCTAACCTCAAATAGTCTTGCACAAACCGGCGGTAGTAGCCTAAGAGACCTAAGAACCCCCTTAACTATGTTATATTCTTTGGTTCTGGCGATGTTCTGATTGTCCCAACTTCCCTGGATCCGCCGCCACTCCCACTCTTTCTTTAGGTATTACGTGACCTAAGTAGGTTACCTCAGCTTGTCCAAAGGCACACTTCTTCTCATTAACGTAAAAATGGTTCTGTTTCCAGCCACGAGTAACCCAACACTACATCAGTGGTACCTACCTCAAAATACAGAAACTATTCTATTATCTCTACTCCTTGGATCGCTAAAACAACCCCACTGCATTTCCTTTGACCCGAGATTACCTGTCCATCACCCACGGAAACTCCAAATCCACCTGTCTCAGTAATGGGTAACCCTATTTCTCTGACCTTGGCTGGAGAGATGAAGTTGATGAAGTTGCTTGTGGCACTTGAATCAATGAGCACAATCACCTCTGTGTTACCGATCCTCCCTCGCATCCACATAGATCTTTCAGCGATGAGTTGGACCATAGAATGCATGGACAGTCTGAGCAGCTTCTGGGTCTCTCCGATCTCCTCTTGTTTTTCAACCCTCCAGTTTCGTCAGCAGTTTCTGGATCCTCCTCCTGCTCACAGTACACTTCCACTTCCAGATTTCGGAATCGCTGTTGAGCTCTGCACCTGGATAAAACTGCTCGCCATAACTCCAACATGGGTTGTTTCTCCTTACCTCGGTACCAGGAGTCACTCGACGGTTGTCTTTTCCCGTCTCCCCTGGCCGAGGACTTGCTCGGTTTGTCAGATTGGACTAAGAGAAACTCGGCTTCACTGCAGGGCTCGTTTGGTGACTGTGGCTCTCCGTCTCTTGCATCTCAATCAGCCTCGCCTTAGCCACGATGTCATTCATACCGCTCGGTGCACTGCGAACAACTTGATCTCGCAGTGTCTTTCTGAGTCTCTTCCGAAACATAGACTCAGCTATATCCATTGGTACATGGGGAGCTTACACCAATAGTTCTTTGAACCTCTCCCAATACTCGTCAACTGAACCTTTTTGTGTGATGCTCATCATCTGATTCACCACTGAGCCACCTCGACTAGCACCAAACCTCTTCTTAAACTTATACTTAAAATCTATCCAATCCTTCACAGCATCTCGGTCATTGATGTACCTGAGCCACGTGACAGCTCGTCCTGTCAGTTTCGACATAGCTTGGGAAAGCTTGTCACTTTCGCCAGTTTTGTTGGCAGCGAAGCACAACTCCACCCTGTAGATCCATTCTTCAGAGTTTTGACCCTCATAAAAGGGAAGTTATGCGGATCTCTTGGCCGCTTCCTCTGGTGCTGTCACCTGCTCAAACTCCACCGTCTCTCCCGTCAGTGTCGTCTTCGGAGAAGGAAGAAGTCCATCTCCCTTGGCCTCTCTACTGTCGGAGTAAAGAGAGGACCTTGTGCCGGTGTGGTTTGCGGTGTGACAAACTCTGCTTGAGTAAACTCACTCATCTGGTTCCTCAACAGCTTATCCAACGCTTCTCGTACCCAAGCTTGCTCCTTTTAGATTTTGAGGAGTCACACCTCTGAGATGGGCCTGCTGGTTTGGTTGGATCCTGAGCCGCCGCGCTTTCGGTGGTCAACGACATAACCTGGCTGCTCTGATATTAATGATACTCTCAGGTATTTGTGTTGTTGATTTTTAGAAGAAGGGAGAAAGAAATGACAGAAGAGAGTGAAAAGAGAGTGAGAAAGGAAAGAAGAGGCAGAAGAGGGATAGATAATTTTTTCATAAGATAAGCAAACCTTAAAGTATCGGGCGCATTAAATACACTGTTCATGCTAAATGAAACAACATAGTTTTAGGCAATTGAAATAAGCTACTGAAACAAAATAAATAGCAAAGCCTCTGCTACAAAAGGAGGCATTGAAGTCTTCTAGTCGTTCCTTAGTCATTTTTACGATCCATTGCCTTCTCTTTTCTCTTGATTCTTCTTCCTCCTCTCATCTTCTTCTTACAGTATGCCAATGGGAAGGCAAGTCTATCACAAACGCACCAAAGACTCCAATTTGGGAGAGGGAGACTATCACACATGCAAGGTACAAGCGTTTTAAAGGGAGAAATTTTCTAGTTGAAAATTTTGTCAAGGATTGGGAGAAAAAATGGCTTTAATATAAAAGAGATTATTGAGGATGCTGGTCTGAAATCTTCGGTGGTAGACTTGGGTAGGTTTATTCCAGAAGTTGTTTGGGAATTTTATGTTGCATTACCTGAAAAGAAGGAGTCTTGTGGTTCTTTGTCTGTCAACATTCGTGGGCATCAATATGAGTTCAGCTCTTTATGGATCAACAAAGCCTATGAGCTTTCTAATGTACACAGGCTCATTGTTAATGATGGTGTAGACATGGATCGTGTGGCTTCTGTGGTAACTGGTAACAAGTCTGTAAAATGGGAATCTCTCACCATACCAGAGTTTTTACCAAGAATGGCAGCTCTCTATAATCTGTGTTGTTAGAATTGGATGCCTGCTACTAATCATAGCTCTTTGAAGCCATACAGAGGAATTTTTCAGTTCAACTTGGAGATGAAGAATCAAGTCGATTATGGAAGAATTGCATTTGAACAGCTTCTTACATGTGCCACCTGGATGATTCTGGAGATTCAATGTCCTTTTCTTTCCATCTTTAATTTTCAAAGTTCTGGAGATTCAATGTCCTTTTCTTCCGGCACCTAGAGAGGTATATCATTATCCTGGCCCCTTCCGTCTCCAAGTAAAAGAGGAACCCAGAAAAGTTGTTTCTAAAACTGTCATGAAAGGAAGAAAAACTCAGAGTAAGAGTTGTCAGATTTCAGCAAGAAATAAGGGAAAAGGGATTATGCAAAGTAACAATGAGGTTCTTGGAGCTGCTTCGCTTGTTTCTGATAAGAGGGTAGAAGTTGATTGTCCTAATGTCTCGGACTCTGTTGTAGAACAAGCAGAAGTTGCTTATGAAGAGCTTGTTCTTCGTATTCCAAGTCATGAACCATCTACTCCCATTGTCCAGGCTCTTCGTGGAGCTTTTGGAACATTTCAGGCTATTCTCGATGCTTTTTCTGGAAAGGAGTAATTCAGCATTTCAAGTTTGTTCCAAGCAGGGGGAGGAAGGAGTAATTCAGCATTTCAAGTTTGTTTTTCTGGGTCGAAATGTCAGGGGGAGCTTTCAGGATTTAGGGGCACTACAGGAAAAACAGGTTTTAGTAGCGGGTGAAAACCGCTATCTAACGATAGCATAGCGTTTAGTTAACCACTCTGTCATCGCCCGCGATAATAGGTCGAGCACTTTAAATAGCGGATTTTGATGTTGCTATTAAATCGGTCAATGTGATAGCGGTTTTTTGTTTGCAATAAAAATATTATTAATAACGTTGTTCAAGTGTTATTAATACATATTTTACAGCGTTATTATGCTGTCATATTTTATCATATTATAACGTGTTATTTGGGTTACATTTTTTTTTTAGATGAATATTTAAATTTTATTATTCTATATTGTTTCTATAAAGAAAGACAGACCTCCCGAGGCATGGCCCGTTGAGACAGCTATTGTCATATTTATGTTTGACATATTGAAGACAATAGCATAATGCTCTGCTATCTTCGTATATAATAGCGTTTTGGTTATTTGTTATGCTATTTAACGATAGCGGTTTTAAGTATTATAATTTACATATATGATAACGTTTTTTTGTATTATCAGTTATGTATATAATAGCGTTTTTTGTATTACTATTACCTATATAATAGGATTAAGCACATGTCGTCGAATTGAATTTTTTTTATTTCAAATGTGGTGAAATCGGAAATATTTTTTTGTTTTTGCCATTTTTTGGTTATTTCGAATGATATTTTTCTGTAAATATCAAATATTAATAAATTTAATTTAAAAAGAGAAACCTAATTAATTTATTAAAATGAAATAACAAAAGTTAAAGTTTACAAAAGACCAAAGTTAAAATTTGAAATCACTTTTTTTCTGCTTCTTCTCCTTATAGCTGTCTCGACGAGCCATGCCTCGGGAGGACTGTCCTTCTTCTTGTTTGGGGTGTCTTTGCATAGTGGATTTACGTTCTTCCTTTATGATTCTTTTGATAGCTAGATGGTACTCTGGTGCAATGTCTTCTTCGAGTTCCTCAAGGCGGACTAAGCTGGTTCCTAAAGCTCTCCGGAACTGTTCTCTTGTGATTTCCTCGACATCACTTCCTCTTTCATCATCTGCATCTTGTCGTGGATGTTGGCGGAGCTGTGGTATGATTCTTTTTGCCGGGAGTCCGCAGATTATTACTTTCCTTGCTTCCATTTCTGAATCAGATTGTAAGCAACACAGGAATTAACAATGACAGTATCAAACAAAATGAAAGAGGGAAACATTTACAGTATCAAACACAATGAAAGCGTATCAAACACTAGTAACTACTAGCAGAACAAATAAGTCAACTAAATTTGGCTACAAAAACAACTTTATTAAGCAAACAAGAAACGACCAAACACAATGGAAATGCTTCCACTTTACACAATAAAAGACAACGATATCATATACAAATGCCAATTAAAGATACAAAAACAGATGTGTATACTTACTTAAAATGAAGTTGTAATATATCGAAGATATCAAAGATACAAAAAAATGTCAAAATACGAAACAAATTTAGGGTTTGACCAGCAATTTATTTAAACCAAACGACTGAGAGAACCAAACGACTGAGAGAATAGAAACGGTGAAGAAAGCCCTAAACTATAGCAATCATAGGGTTTATACAAAACCATAGGGTCGAGATAAGAAGAAGAAACAGCAATTAAACAATATAACTATACGAATCGGTCATAAATGTATCGGCATCTATAACATTGAGAGAAGATGGAATGACAGAGATGTAAAGAATAAAGTACCCGATTAACTCTGAGATACAGATCTTCGAGTGAGATGAATATACGGCGACGAAGAAGAAGACATTGTATTTAGGGGTTCGGGTTTAATATCATCGATCCTACGGTGGAGACAGAGAGTAATATTATATCATCGTACGGTTGAGATTGATTATAAATCAAGATTATTGATCCAACGGTTACTATTCCAGCGTTAGAGTATTGATCGTACGGTCGAGCTGGTGCCACATAATGGATCCTAGTACTCTTTAACTATTGGTCATTTTTGTTCAGAATAAGAATTTTACATTTCCAAATTATAAATAAAGTATTTAATTTTTTTAAAAATTTACAATTATGTAAATATTATAGATTTAGTAATTCTAATAATGGAGAACTTAATTTTTAAATTTCATTACAAAAGAAAATTATAAATCGAATTCAACATATATTTAATTTCTAATCAACACTAAACCTAAACCCTAGACCTCTAATCCCTTAACCCTAAAGGCTAAATCTTCAAAATGTGAAATACAATACTATTTTAAATTTATTAGTACATATATTGATATCTTCTATGAAAAGCATTGTAATTTTATAGTTATAAAGTTCGAGTGAGAAATTGTAATGCTTCACATAAAACACTAAACATTCATCTTAAACCCTTAAACTCTAAACTTTTACCCCTAAAGACTAAATCTTTGAAATGTGAAATACAATACTAATCTTAAATTATTTAGTACATAAAATGATATATTTTATGAAAAGTATTCTAACTTTATTTTAATAACATTATAGATACCAATTATAATGATTCATAGTAGACCTGAAATATTAACTCTAAACCCTAAACATTAACCCTAAACCCTAAATGTGAATTAAAAAACGAAATTTTTCTTTATGAATATATATAAGTCTTATTTTCAAAAATTTTGAATATGTATTTTATATTTAAGTAATAAATTTAAAGCTTATTCTAATGTTAACTTTAATTAAATTATTCTGGATATGTTTTCATTCATTAAAAATTTGAATTAATTCAAATTTAATCAAACCATAGTACAATATTTGAAGATATGTGTTTTTACCATTTAAAGCTTATAAATCCAAAGTACAAGCACATTAGATTGAATTTATAGCATAAAATTCAAACATGTCTCAGCATTTTTATTTTGTCGTTAGGCCAAGCTACGGTTGTTCCCACTGCATCGGTGATGAATTCAACTTCGGAATTTGGTCTCCACACTCTTGCGTTATCAACCTTTGACAATTCTACCCATACTTTGCTAGCATTTGGGCCTAGAGGAATGAAATGAACTTTCTCTGCTGGATTAGTGGAAGACACTCGACCTTGGCAACAGTTTCTCCAGATCCATCGCAGTCTAACAACAAACATTTTTGTTTCCCTTTGCTACTATTGGCACTGTTACTTGTACTCTACAATTCAGAATTCCAGCACACAAATTAAAAAAAAACATAACCACATCAATCATTATTTTGAACACAAACTTATGTGGATAAGAAAGGTAACCGAAGGTATTGTCTCAGGATCGACGACTAACTGTATCTTATGAATTGGCCATGCGATGTCCTCATTACGTGCATCACCTAAGACTGACATTTCAGCACTTGGTCTCCACAGAAAAGCACTGTCTTTACTAACTACGTCAACTTTCACAATTACAGCATTTGGTCCCAGAGGTATATTGTTAACCAAGTCTTTTGGGTCAGTAGAACACAATATGCCCTCACCAGTCACCAATTATCTCATCTTCCTCATTCCAATCAAAAATGTAAACCCTTCCATCAGAAGACCTTTCAGCCTAAGTAGTTTAGCAAAAAACAACATATTAAGCATTACTGAATAAGAAATGTTTTCAGTTATAATACTAGGAAGGAATAGTTACCGAGGATCCAGCAGGCTTGGTTCCAGGTGAGTTGATGTCATTATCTAATATCACCTTATCAGCTGGCCATGCAATCTTGATTCCTATACTGTCCTGGTGGGCCTCCAGATGTATGCACCTGGTTGTGTTACAGACTTCACCAAAACAGCAGCAGCGTTTGGTCCTAGTGGAATCCGACCAATCTTATACATATGGTCAGAAGAACAAAACTCCCCTTCAGCGACGACAACATCATCATTACTGCACCAGTCCAGTAGCTGACACTTAACACCTATTCTGCTAACATTGCTTCCTTCGGACTTAGAGACCTCATCACTATCTCTCTAACAAGTTCCAGATGGACAACAAATTTTATAGCAAATGAATCAGTAACAGCACTGTAAACCAACAAATTTTACAACAATTTAAACAAGAATGACCATTTACCTTCTTTCCAGCTAAGTCCTGAACAACAAGACGAAGGTCCTCAATCTTGTTAAGCAACTCTGCTTGTGTTGCTTCTAGTTTTTGTACATGTGAATCTCTAGCTTGTAGGAATGCCAGCTTAGTGTAAGTAAACCCTCTGCCCATCCCTCTCAGTCTTCCTGGTTTGTCTTTTCCCAATACACGGCTGACAGCATCATCTCTGATATTAGCGTTGGCTGTGGACTCCATTTCACTATCAATTGATTTTATTTTTTCCTAGCATATTTATAAAGAAAATTATTTAGAATACAGTTATCAAGTATACTAACAGCCATGTATATGCATTGAAGTGAAGTTCTTACAATTGTTTCCGCAAATTCTTCTCTTACAGGTGTTCGATCAGCATGTGTGTGCCCTGCTACCCACACCTTACTTCTACTCACTTTACTAGGGTCTGAACTTTTTTTCCTCTAAAACAAAAATCATTTAGCGTTATTTTTTTTCTATG